CCATCCTTTACTATCAACGCAACAAAAAATCATTTCAAATTATCGGTTTAATTGCTAATAACATCACAAAAGCGATTAGGTCCGACCCATTTGTTGATACAGACACCAGTGACGTATTAGTGACCTCATTTAATTTGATACTACGCATGCGCATTACTTCCGTCACTGCCGGACAAGCATCAACTGATAATTCATGTGACTGATAACAGACTTTGTAAACAAATCGTTGTTGGGGAAATTGACCACTAGCCATGTTGCGTGTTTGGTGACACCTACGAGTTAAGCGGAGTTATTTATGATGATTGATATAATGATTAATGTTTGTAATGTCAGTGAAAGTAATAAATGCTTTATAATTATTTACACCATTTCATTACCATCACCTAACCTTCTTGTTGCTAGGAGACGGACTTTGGTGTAAGGCGTGCATGTTTTCAACGTCATAGACAGTCTCCGTCTGATGATATTAAGTAATAAATTGAAATCCTATTTAAATTATCTGATCAAATCAATGGTGATAAATTTAGGAAGGGAATCTGCGTAAATCAGTTTCCGTTGTTCAAGGCGGCTTAAGCAAAGTGGAAGTCAGAAGCGTGCGGAACGAATTGAAAGAGAGAGAGAGAGGGGGGAGAGAGAGAGAGAGGAGGGGGTGGGGGTGGGGGTGGAGAGAGGATTACCATATACATTTATTAATACACCTATTATGTAAATTACGTACACTTATATTAAGAAGATGGTGCCTACGTTTAAAGCTTATTAATTTCATCCATATACTTTCTATTCGTTTATTTATCATGACTTGTTCTGTGAAAATACGATTGGTTAGCTAAAAGTGATATATTTTAATTTATCACAATTTTTTCTAAATAAAATTTGCCAAATTTGTGATAAGTTCAAATTAACACTTTGTGTGTTAAATTTATCAAAATTTTGATCTAGCTTAATTGTCGATGTAAAAAGAACATATTTTCAAAAGAATATTTTAAAAATTGTTATATTGCTGTACTGTTGAACATAAAAACATCTACAGAAAGTTGTATTGGATCAAACCTACATGTTTTCATCGATTTAAGTATTTTCTCTTTGTGTTGTTATTCTCCTTCCGTCGTCCTATCTCCAGAATTAATATCTATATTCTAAACACATTGTTTTATCTCCATAAATACATCTATTTAGACAGCACTGTAACGTTGGATACAAAATGTACATATATGCCATGACACGTCCAAAAACGTAACAAAGACCATAGCTCTCTAGTTTAATCGGCAATGTCTAATAAGCTAAGATGAAGTATTCTACAGTCTAGCTATAAGTCTTATATTGTAAATGTACATTGATTTTCACTTTGAAGCAATTAGAAATTGGCATCCTTTATATCACATTTTTGTGACAATACACATACGTGCATGTGAACATCTGTTTCTCTGACATGTGCCTATAAGACTCTTTCATATGTCGGGTGTAGCATAGGGATGTTCCACCCGTGGGGACACAACATGTCGTAAAACCCCAGGCGCTGCCGTAGGTTTTATCACATGTTGTGATCTCGAGGGTGAAATATATCCCATCCATCACTCCAACACATGAAAAAATATTTTTCTCTCATTTCTCATTCTGAAATATTGAGAAATGTTAGCTTCTTCAGAAGTTGACAATATACTGCCAAGGACTCCATATGCAGTTAATCGACAAATTTACACAGAAAATGAATTCTCCGCGCCTAAATTTGGCAAACAAAGTTGGCCCTTGAAAATTAAAACAAAATATAAACAATCTCTACAAATAAGTATTTGTACACATGTATGTATACATTGTATTGGGAGATGACGTCAATTAGGAAGGGAGACCTCATATTTCTAGGTGCGCGTGCCTGTATTGCAATGGTTGGTGTGTACTACAAGAACAGTGAACCTGGGTGTATTGCCCTGGACAGGTCAATATCACTCGGGCAGAAAATACATCAGAAGGAAAGGAGAGACAGAATGAGGATGGAAGGGAAATAAAGACAAACCTGTGTATAGGTAAAAATGATTTTCTGGCACTCCAGCCTTCCATATTTTTCATCAGAATTTGTGGCGGAAGTGTGTAGCCTGTAAGTGATACATTAAACTACCGCCAACGGAAACATTAAAATCCTATTGTTATAATGCAACAACGTAAGTCCAAAAACGTTTCTATAATCTTCAAATTAAACATATTAAATTTCAGAAACTTCCATCTTACCAATGCTTCTACTGAATCAAGTTAAATTGTCCTTCCTTTCATCGCTCTGGCTTCGTTCACATCATTCTTCCCTCGGTCCTCGTATCTTCCCTGTTCCAAATTCTTTATTCTCCAGTTTTAGATGTATACACTTACTTTAAGCAATACCATAATGTAAGGTTAGTACACTGTTTTTCGAATGTGACCTTTATTCTAAATATTAGACGATTTCTGGAAATGCGCTAAATCCGTGAGAAAAAAAAAATCTCAATGTTAGAAAAAATGAGACGCTGTTGTCGGTGAGACAAAGGGTATTTTCATTTCTATTTAATAATCATTTTATCATTTTTTTCTAGTTTCCGATCTGTCTGTTATTCTTATCTAACTTTTATATAAAACATAGGTTTTATGTGTTTCAATTCACAGTGTTTCAGTACACTTAATTAAGTATTCTTGTGTTCGCGTGATCGTGACCTCGTTGTTGTGTAACTATTCGGCGGCAGTATGTCTGTGACCTTTCATTGTTCCGATATAAAATATTAAAGTATGGTACGAAAGGTTGTGGCGTCTTAACTGAAGTTTCCTATTGTAAAATAAAACTCTCTGTGGTCCAGAATACACATTACACACATTGTTCAATCTAAGATCAAGTACATCAAGCTATCTGTACACGTATGTCCCGATTTAAATTTGATTAAATTTTATCTATTTCAGAACAACTGTAAAACAAGTTATCTGCTTATATAATCTTCCTTGTTGGTCCAAATAGAAGTGTGCGAGGGGTATTGCTGTTGGATGGAACCTGAGTACCCGGGGGAAAACTCGCGTGGTCGGGCATATGACTCTATACCTTTACACGTCAGTTCCGGGAATCGAACACCGCACGCCAAAGTGAAAGACTAGTGCGTTACAACAGCGCCACCCAATCATCCTGATTTCATGGGATAGGCTTGGACACAGGGATTTGGCACACTTTCCTGATTCACTGTCGGATTACAAGTATCACAATAATGTCCCATCCTCTCTTCATATATATATAAATATAGGTATATCAAGTTATATCAATATAAATATATGCGGACCGGATGCAGTTTTGTAAGTAGTAATTCGAACCGAGTGTGTGTGTTTTGAGATAATATCCACCTAAGAGATAGAACCAGAATATATGTTTCTTACGAAAAAAAAACGTATCATCATAAATTCCCCGAGATTATGTTATAAGCACCAAACTGTCGTGTCACGAACGTGTACTCAGCAAGTTCCCATAATAAGTTGGTGCTAGATCTTGGAGGGGCATTTTATAGCGGCAAACGACGTCCGCTGCTTTCTTACAATATGCAGTGGGCATGCTATCGCCGATTCTATCAAAGCAAATCACTGTACACCAAATGATGTGGCCATATTGATTTTATAAAGCCAAATTAAGTGTGTAAATCCACCCACCTGTACCTGCACCAGCATACTTAGAGGAACGACTGGGGATTTTCGCGTTCATTAGGTATTATGCAATTGAATATTAGTCACTAGCAACTGCCGGTATATAAACCACACACTCTTTACATTTTAGAACATTTTAATTTCAAGTACAGCTTTAAGAATGCTTCCTCTAATACAGAATAAAGCCCCCATACCATACAACTAGTAGACCCACAGTATTTAATATAACTGTCTGGATATCACGTGGACAAGCATTCTTGTGTACTTAACAAATATATCTGTCATTGATAACTTACCTATATCATTCAAATTACTCCTGTCCAAATATACGGGTCACACTATGGAATTTTCGTGAAAAGAAAAAATAAGTCATATATCCTTATGGAAAACTAACAAAATACGACTTTTAATTAAATAAAAAACAATATCCTTACGGAGCTGGTTATTGTTAGAAAAAGTTTGATTTCCCTTGTCGTTAGAGTGACTATTGCAGTACATGTTGTACTCACCTTGGTAAACGAGTTAAGGTTATTGAATACCTGATCTTACTTGAATCCCTAGTCACACAGCGCACCACTTACGTCATCCAATGTTTTGCATACGTCATTCAAAATTCTTTTATGTGAATTGCATTTTTCCGGAGGTATATTATGTGCCGTGATAATGGTAAATAGTCTTGCTTTCTGATAAAGATTCGCGGAAGAAGTGTTTTAAGATAAATAGGAAACATCAATAAAAGGTTTTACCAAAAACACACGTGAATAGCACATTTAATTCTTAGTTAAAAACAGTAGGGCCAAGCAATGAATTAAACTGTATCACACAACTGTTTCGTACTTCAAGGACTCGTCGGTGATGCTTGGGGTTTAAATTTTGAAACCTAGGAGGCGACTAGCCCCCATAATTAAATAATTTTCGTAATTTTCAAATATCAGATAATTCTAGAACAGCATCAAGTGTTCTTGTGTATATTCCAGCTGAAAAAAAACCATATGAATGCATGTCGCTGTGGTATTTAAAATGTATTTAAGCGTTTTCAGAATTTATTCTCAGAATGGTTGCTATACTTGACATATTGTTAGTGTTAAACGTCAGTTAGAGAATCGAATATTGATTTTATTATCTTACAAGCTTTCACTTGGCAGATTCTTCTGCGCATGGTATAAGGTAGTCAGATCTATATCATAGTTTGTACATATGTGTTACACCTGTACACATCTATGAGATGTTTCTTTCTATAACATGACATCACAAATCTCACAAAGTTAAATTTGCATTTTAATCCATATTTTTTTCCCGAATTCCGTCTTTACAGTCCGCGCCGTTCTGTCCGCTGCCGACTCGGTAGTTTAGACTCAACCATGGCCGCTGTAAAATTGAGTACCCTGGAGGATCAGATGAGTTTACAGGGTAAATACAGAAATATTACATTTTTCTCTCATTTTATCAACACACGCTATAAAAAGATTCATTTATTTTGTGTATTTAGTAAGTTTAAGAGTTGATCAAGGTGGAATAATTTTGCACATCATTTCTTCATCGACCAGATAAATTTCGTTCCAGTATTGGGGAGCATGCGTTATCTTCCTGTCAGCCTTAACGGTACCGATAACTGATTTTGATAAATTCAGTGTAAACATTACCATAAAATCGACACTACACACTGCGTATGATCTCTATTTAGCATAAGATATATGATATGCTCACTTAGTTTTTATCTTTGACGATTTTTCACGAAATTACGTGATAAGATGTGCCGAACAATTGAAACAAGGGTGTCTCCCTGGTGTAACTTGTGGCCATTGTCATGATCCGCGAGATATATGCACGTATTCAAAATGCTTATCGTCTTTGCGCATGTTATCACATGTACATGTCATGCAAATGTTGCTATGATCCTATTATGCACGAGTTTACTGAACGACATCCTGCAATAATGTCACTTTGTTAACAATAATATTGTCTAGACAGAGTGGACAAAGGGAGATAACCCGTAGCGGAAAAATACCATGGGGCCCATCAGGGGTATTCTACGTAGTGGGCAAATCGATTGTGAATACACTTAGCAGTGATTTTTGAGTCTCAAATATGTTCTTTACTCATGTATTTCCTATCGGACCCAATTAAACTTTTAGAATCTACAGAATTATTTTTTAAATTGACTGATAAAAATTTTGGATATGTTGTTCAAGGCTCGTTAGAAAAAATGTTTACTTATTATTCAAACAGATGTTTTAATTTTATAAACGTGCAGAAAGAAATTAATCAACAATTAGGTAACTTAGATTTGGTAAATTTTGACTGAAAGAATTCACTTTAGACTCTTCAAATATTAAATAAACAGTTCCTGTGATTTAGCACAATGTAATCAATTAGACTTTTTTAAAAAAATATTATTGATATATATGAATTGTAAATTATTTGTCAATCTAGGGCCCTGAGTCATCTAAAATTTATTAGGGACATCAGTCATTACATCAATATTTATGACTTTGATACCTTGTTGAATGCAAGATACGTTTGAGTTGGTAAAAATTAAAAAGTGTTTCAAGAGGTGATCCATGTATTTCTTTATATGGAGTGGATTTTACTGGCTTAGTACAACTTTCCACTGCTCCATATTGTAATAATTTGTTCCATATTGTTCAATTCATTATTTTATATTTAGCATGTCCTGGTTTATTTCGCTTCATGTTATCAAATGTAATTTTACAAAGATCTACTTAATGGCTTTAAAACAATATGTTTGTTGAATTTATTTGAAGTTGTTTACTGTAATATATTTATTTTCACAAACATATTTAAAAGGATAATTTGTAGGTCAGGATAATTATTTTTCAATGAATCAATAAATTTAATGTTCACAGTTTTTTTCTGCAAAAAATGTATAGTTAGAGAGCTGTCTAATGCTGATCGCATACATATGCATTTTTGTTGGATTTCAAATTCCACAAACATAACACATCTTTCATGTATGCTTTCTATTATTCGGTTCTTCTTAATTCACAATAAAGACATGGACAACCTAAAGAACCTACAGTCTATGGAAATGAAAAAAAAACATAAGAGTCAATCCTACAAACGAACGTTAATGTTGCAGATCAAGAGGTTACGGCGCGCCGTTGTAAGATGAACTTTGACCAGTTCCGACAACCATTTGATCCTGGTGATGGTGGAATGACTGCAGTTGAGGAGGATTACCTTGACAACATGCTCCTGGATAGTGGTCAGCCCCGTGCAGATCTTTGGGAAGGAGAGCATGATTTCCTAGCACACAATACTGACTGGTGCGAAGAGTTATGCAATTCATATAGTGTATACTTGTATTTAATTAAACATGTCATAAAATTAACATGTTTACTGTCTGGAATGCCAATATATGAATGATATATGACTAGCAGGTATTAAATAACTCCTCCTGGCTATAATCCTTATACATTGTAGATGTATATAAACTGTATCAAGTTGAGCTACATCCTCTTTTCTGAAAGTTATGTCCCTTTAAGAACTCTTGTTGGTGGAGGGGACAGCTAAAGTGTAGGAGTCAGCCCGTGGATGACAGTTCTAGTTTAACCTGTCAGTGAAAAAAAAATAGACAAGAACTGAAGTTTTATATGAATATCAAAAACTGCAGAGAGAAGAATCCATTTCTGTTTAAAATTGTGGCTGTTTTCATGCATAACATAAGAAAGCTATGTCATGTTTTTCATCTTTCATCTTAATCAATTGAACCCTCAACTGAAAGAAATTAAAAAATTAGAGAAGTTAGATTTATCTGAAGTTGTATCATGTAAGTAATGTTTAATGACTGTCTGAAGATGAAAATATCTAGTCATCTCATTCTGTTGTAAATTCATAGTAGATCTACAATACCAGATTTTAAACTGCATTTTGTTTTATTTGATTTGTAAATGACTCATATTTGTTGTGAGGAAAAACAAATTATTATTTATGAGTGAAATAATTCATGTTGGTCACTACATAGGGAGATGGAGACAGCACAGTTGTATTTCGAAACATTGCATTTTCTTCCCCTATTACCTACATATTGTATAGACGTATGTTACCATGGTAGGAACATCATGTTCAAGCCTCTATGCCATGATTTGGTTTGGGTTATTATTGATTTACCTTGTATTAACAACCAGGTTCATTAAAGGATGCACCAGGTTGCGGGTGGTAGAGGAAAGCCGGAGTTCCCAGACAGTACCTGGCAACTGCCCCATGTAGGTCTTAAACCTGCAACTCAGAGGTGGAGAGCTAGTGATAAAGATCAGACACCTTAACCATTTAGCAACCTTTGACCCCTGTTTACATATAATATGTACTGATATTGTATATCACAATACTTAAGTGCATAACAGACAGATATTCTCACTAAACGGACAGTTAGACTGAATTTGAATAACATATTTTGTGTTTATGAGGCTCAACTTTAATGAAACTGTTGGTTTTGTCTAATGATGCATCTTGTCTGTCCCTAGTGATGATGTGTCCGAGGGTTCAAGTGATGGAGAGGAGGAGATGGGACTGTCATGGCAGGACGATAAGGTTACCGATAAAGGAGCCAAGGCGCTGGGTTCACTCCCATTTGAACCCAACACACCACCTGGAATACAGATGCGAATGCTCACACGGTAATATTCTAGTATTTTTTGTCCCACCATCATCAGATGGTTTGCTGCTCAAGTCACCTTTTCTCCATGGTCGAATCTGTAAACATTTCTTAATATCACTACGTCTGGAGAAGCACTTGTTGGATAATTCAAATTTCATATGTATATTTCTCCTATTTATTAAGATGATCAATCTTAAACCTTTCATGTCGAGTAATTATTTTGCAGTATAATTAAATGTTATTGAAGAAGTGCATGTGAGTGTAAAAACTGTCATAGTACAGATATATACTAACTACAGGTACTTTCATGAAAAAATGACATTCAGTATTAACTACTATTTTGATATTGCAAGCTACCTTTAACATCAAGTCTGCAAAAGTCAGTCATTCATGAGCATTGAAACCTCAAGCATATTGATAACTACAGTTTGTACGATTCGTACTTTAAAGAGAAAATTATGACTGTCATCTAACAGATTGGTCTGGCACTAAAACTTCAGCATTTGCTCTATACAATAGATGACATTAAAACTTTCTGTAGTTTTCGACCATGGTCAGACTAATTTCCTTGCAAAACCTGTGAACTGTATCTTCTGCTGTATATCTTTCTGATATTTCTGAAAAGATATTATCTGTAGATGTATTTGATCTATGTTTTTTCTATTCTAACAGGTTTGTTAGACAGACAGCCAAGACCCCTATCCATTTCTTCTCTTTCTTCCTGTCATTTGACCTAGTAGCATCCATTTGTAATGCTACAAACGCCTATGCAGAGATGACCATTAAAAAGGGCCAGTTCCAGTGTTACGCCACACAGGTCCAGCAGAAAGATGTCTGGTCAAAGGTCACTACTATGGAGATGTACAAGTATGTTCAAGTTGTCTTTATCGGGATTATATGTGAAATGACAAAAATGTTGTTTCAACTACATATGTATGATATTTATAATATAAAATTATATAAAAGGAGAACTCCTATAGCATGGCAAGTAAGTATAGAGTGGAAGTTTTTAAAACACAAACAGTAGAAGACTTGATTGACATTTTTGATGACTACACAGTCACCTTTATAAAATTTAAAGTTGGTCAATACTTAACCATCTTGTACACTATATACCCCAGTGTTAGTATGCTTAACACTGGTCATTTTTGTGATGAAGGTGACAGTGTAGTCATTGAAACGTCACACTAAAATCTTCTACTGGTTGTGATATAAGAACTTCTATTTTATTGACATTACCATCCTGAAGAAAATGTTCTGAAATATGGCAAATATCTGTTGGCATTTCTACTGAAACAGCAATGGATGTGAGTGGGCTTTTCTCATCAGGCATAGACAATGTTTTCTTTCATGATATTAAAATTGTAAATATTTTTTGTTTGTTTCGCTTACACAAATGTATTTTGTTTTGTTTATAATAAACACCAGTATCAAAAAAATGTATATTTTTAATGTTCAAATTATATTAGTGCTAATCTTTAACACTGATTTCTTTGTAGATTCATTGGAATACTTATGTATATGTCTCTGAACAAACTACCCAATTTGGACTGTTATTGGTCTGAAATAGATGACCCTGTGTTTGGTCCTTCAAGTGACATGGTTAGGGAAAGTATGTCCAAACATCGCTTCATGACATTACTGGCATTCCTTCATGTTGTATCACCTGAAAATTTAAAAAAAGGTGTGTATTGTTGATTTATTGTCCTGTGTGATTTAGTCACTTTTGATAGTATTATAAGCTTTGTTGATGTCCATTATGTTTGGACTGAATTATATATCTAGCTGTTCTGTGCAGCTAAGTGACTTTATTACTTCAGAGATGGATTATCTTAAATATTCAAAAATAGAAAAAAAACTGAAACAGGGTCTGTAAGTGTGCTATTAATTAAGCTGTCTGCCTTGTTATATTGATTAAGGTCAATTAATCATAAAAAAAAACATCTGTAATATTAGAAATATATTATGCTTTCAAAATGTAAAGAAACGTATCGGAACTGATTCACACAAGTCTATAAAGGCTTGTTACTTAAACTGTTTGTGAAGAGCCGCGTAAAACATCAAGATGTAATTTATTTGTAAGTAGTGACTAAGAGCATAAATAATTTGCCCTATTCAAGGACTATTTTTGTCCTGGTGGCATCGATGGTGCCCAAGTGGCACTATCAACTATTTGAGGGAATTTGTTTTTTAAATGTTTTATGAAATCCTGTTGGTATCACATGTGTAACTAAAGGATTGTTTTTATTTTTTCTGTACATACATCAAAGTGTATTTCATATTTTAATGCATACTAAGCAATGTTTTGTTATGTAAATGTAAATACACTTTGGGGCACATACAGAATTTTATTTTTAAATCTTTAAATATTGCAAGGATTGTCGACTTTTGAAATAATAAACGTGAACAACAATGACACAGATTGTACAAAAGACACACATGGGAATAGAACCTCTTGATAAAAATTTATACGGTAGAGCCAAACAATAGATTAAACTGCACTACTGCGATTTCATTCTTCTAGGATTCTTAGGTGATGCGAAGTTTTGAAGTTTAGCAGGCGACTTAGGAAAACCCTGTTGTTGAATATTGATATCACAGTATAGTTTGTTAATATCACCTTTGTATATGGTAATATTGAAAATACATAGATATCACAATACAATTTGTTAGTATAACGGGGTATATGATAATTTAAGGAAGATTGATATCACACTACAATGTGTTAGTGTCATGTTGTTTACCAAACGCAGAATATTTCTTTCAAATTTCATAATTAGATATACACTTCAACGCAGCTGTGTCCAGAGATTTCTTTCAGTTATCAGATTGTAGTTTATATGATATCATACTCAGATGACTGCAACAGGAAATATTGTTATTTACTGCAAGGTATAACAAATATGACCTTAGCTTTTACTCCAAATTGAATATGGTTATATATGTGATAGAAATTAATAATTCTTAAAATTCATAATCGATATGCCGGTAATATTTATCTTTTATTTACATTTCTTTTTATTGAATTTACAGAGGAAAAGATTAGCTATGTGAAACCCCTTCTGAAACACATGAAGACTGTGTCCCACACGTTATACTTTCCCTACAGAGAGTTAGCAATCAAGGACAGGATGTTGGAAACCAAAAAGAGGCTTGGAAATCTTGACAATGAACCACAAAGATATGGCTGTAAACTCTTCTCACTTGTCTGTGCAGTCACAGGATACACATATGAACTTTTACTCTATGTGAATAAAGGAGATTATAAATTGGCCAATCACCCAGAAGGAATTCCATATTCAATAGTGAACACGTTAACAGCTGACTTCCAGAATCAAGGCTACCAGTTATTTCTGGAAGGTTTTTTTGTGTCTAAGACTTTACTTAGAGATCTTTTCAGTAGCTCCATCTTCACAACTAGTTCCTTGAAGGCTGGAAGCCCGGTGGTACCAATTTCTCTACGTGACTGGCAAGAATGGGATGAGGCAGCCAAGAAAGGAGACTTCCGATGGCAGAGAGAAACAGACAGCTATTACGTAGTGGTACAACATAAGGACGTAGGCACCAAATCGTATCTATCCACGTTACACATGGGGTCAGCAGTCGACTCTAAAACACATGTACCAAAATTGGTAGTGGATTTCAAACAGGGCTCAGACGGATTCAATCGTAGCATCAGTAACATGAATAATTACCCATTCAAGGTAGGGGAGGAGACAATTCACTGGTGGAAAAGTGTCTTCATGCACTGTATTGACATGATGGTGATGAATTCCTACATTATTTACACAGAGTATGTGGACAGGTATCCAGCAGAATTCGCAACACCATGCAATGAGCTGGAGTTTCGGAAGGCATTAGTGAAGTCTCTCCTAGTGCAAAAGAGGCGAGGCATAGACTTGTCACCTTGTCGGGACTGTATGCCGGAAATGGTGGTGACACGTCGCGATTGTGCTGTCTGTAATGCCCAGGCGAGACTTGAAGGCAATTCTTGTCCAAGTACAAAAACAAACTTCATCTGTAGACACTGCTGTGTGCCCCTGTGTATTTATAAAGACAGAAACTGTTTTGCAAAGTGGCACATGCCAGAGGGTAAAACCATTAGGGAATGGGTACGATCCTATGGACGGAAGAGGAAACATTCAGATTAAACGACAGATCTGAAAACAACCACTTTAATCTCTAAATTCACAAAACAATGATAATTTAATATACAGACATTTTGCCAATCGATTAAATAGATTTTATGCATTGTCAGATGAAAATCACATCAAACTTATATTTCCTTGACTGAACTTCTTCAAAACAAAATATTAAGATATTAGAGCGAATCCATTTTGTGGTAGCTTGACATTTTGATATTTTGTACTTTAAATCTCTTCTTTGAGCTCTGAACATGATACTGTAGCATATTAAAACTTAGATGCATAGGAACAAAAATTGTGACAAATATTGATGTTGATTCTGCTGTAGGGTGATGACTAAAATAAATTGTAGTCATATTGACCTCTCATTAAAGATTATCAGGCAGATTTCAAGTATGTCCATCCTCAGACCAAGATATACATCCATTATTGATTAAGTGGACTCAATTTCTACACACTACATTCCTTGAATCTAAATGCTGTTTAGCTTATCTATAAACCGTAATGAATATTCATCAGAATCTGTTTTATACTGTGAATTATATTAAGTGTGACAAAGGTGCTAAAAAAATACGTGCAACTACTCATTGTTCTCATTTCATTTTTGACATATTACATTTGACAGAGAATGTAGCACGATGTGCATTGTTTACTTCAGAGAATGTATTTTATCTTCAGAAACCATGACTGAAAAAAATGTGCGTGTTTCTGTAGTTGATAGCTAGCCAATTAAATTTCACATGACAATTTCATACCATTTCATAGATAAAATTGATACTTATTATATATTGTATACATTGGTAAATAGAAATTACTGTGAAATTTTGTCTCATTTTAAAAAATTTACCAAATGAAGAAATAAAACATAAAACAAAGGAGGATAAGACAAGAAGAGATGCAATTTACCTATGTGTTTCAGTGATTCATGGCTATGCTTTTCTTTAACAGACCTTTTGCTAAATGCGAAATATATCACCACCTGTCGTTCTCTACAGGTAAAAGGACCGACATCATTTTATTGTTAATTTTAGTACATCCTCGATACTCCAGCAATTAAAATCACTTTCACGCTCAGAACCCCGGGACCATTTCATGGCAAAATTGAAGGCACAACCGAAGTAATTTCAATTCGTTCTAGGAGAAAGAATCACAGGGAGATATGCTCTTTTTGAAGATTACAAAGGAGTGACATCCAGTTTCAAAGCCATTGCATCATTACATTATGCGGCCTAGAGATTCCTTTGATGTATATCAAAGGATCAAACTAATCTTTTCGTCTTGTCCTCAAGGTGTCGCACATGGAACATTTAAAAGTGATCGTAACTCCTGGAGTGTCGTGGATGATACTACCACTGATCTCATGTGTTCTTGTTTTGTTGAAATAAATGTATGTCATCCATGACAATTTGTTAAATAATTTGTTAAATATTATCACTTATTAGTAAATATTTTATGTTGTACATGACATTTTGTATAGAATTCTACATGTTATATTATATGGATATTTTTATTTTCACTAGAAGTTATGTTGATGTTTTGTCTCATTTATTTGAAATACTGAACTGTTAAAACACGGTTTGTATCTGTATTTAGTGAAAATTTGCATAATTTACGTTTCATGTATTCTTGAATTATGGTTACATTGTACCTTCCTAAAAAGGTGGTTACTGACAAATGAAATCATCAGCAATATGAACAATAATAGAATAGAAATTCTTACAACAAAACCAGTGGAAGATTTGTATTTGAGTGTGACATTTCAATGACTATACGGTCACCTTCCTCAACAAGGTGAAGCATACGTTCTAGCACTCAAGTAAGAGAAAGTTAGGAATCAACCAACTTTTTCATCTGTATTATGATAATATATACTCTAAGGTCAAAAATATTGTGACAAGATAGTAACAGTGTATTGTATTCGATTTGGCTACATTTCCGTTTGGTCGGGTGGCGCAGTGGTAACACACTCGCCTTTCACCTAGCCGGTAAGGTAAGGGGTCACCTGCCTGAACACGTGGGTTTCCCCCGGGTACTCCGGTTTCCTCCCACAATAAGACCCCTTGTGCACTTACATCTGGGCCAACAAGAGTGATTAGCATAAGTTGACATAACTTGTTTCACAATTGTTGTAAAATAGATAAAGTTTATATTGATATACACTATATTAACACTTATGGAAGCCTGTGGCCCCTTTCGTCCCTGTATAGTTCTGGCCTGCTCGCCAATTTAAACAAAGCGTAGTCATATTGACTTCTGTACATTGTTACCATTCTGTGTAGTTTTTTCCTATAATCTGTGTACCATTTTGTCACAGTATTTTCAACCCTAGTGTTGATAGGATTATCGTACAGATGAAAAAGTTGGGCGATTCCTTACCATCTCGTACACTTCATATGTTAGAGCTAGTAACCTACACTCTGGTCATTTTTGTCTGAAGAAGGTGACCAGGCAGTCATTGAAATGTCTCACTCAAATCTTCTGCTGGATGTGTTAAAAGAACTTCAATCTATTGACATTACAAACATGAAGAAAATGTTCTGAACTGAACAGAAAATACTTACCTGTTTTGTTAAATGGAAGTATTTTTACATGATGATATAGAACATTTTCTACATTACCTTTTTAGCATTAGTAGTTGTTATTGTTTTATTAGTTGAAAATGAGAGAAAATTTCAAATCTTATTTCATGTCACCAGTGGTGCCATGTCTGTTGTCTGTTCATTAGATTTTACACGATCCTTCCATTGGAGGGCAGATATTTATTTGTCATGTTTGTTCTTCCATATATCTTTCATACCACCCCATGCTGATGGTATCATAAGCTCATTATCTGATCATTGATTATGGTTTCATTGGAGCATTGTTGTCTTGTCCGATGGACATTTTCTAGTAAATTCAAGCATACAAAGCGTGATGAACATCATGGACCTTTTCTGATTTAACGTTAGCTAACCTGATACAAACTGTCATGTTATCTTATGCCATGATGCAGTCCATCTTCAACTTTTCTGTTTTAACAATATCTTCTCAATAACCAAGAGGCCAAATGTCATGATTTTTGGCTGGTGGATTGCAGGGATGAACCCTGACAAAGATTACAAAAAGAAGTTACCTTGGCTCATATTCAAGGTCACAGGGTCAGACTTGTTAAAACTGTAAATTGACTTCTGATTTACCAGAAAGTCTAGAGTTTTTGGTTTGTAGATCTTTGGAGTGAAGGTCAACAAAGTTTGAAAAAAATTATGACCTTGAACTATATTCATAGTCATAGGGGTCATAATTGTGGAAACCTGTAATTGACTTCTTCCGGTTAACTGGAAGTCCAAGAAGCAGGGTATATGGTGGAAAGGTGTTTCTAGTTCAATTGCCGACAAATTTTGAGAAAAAAATTGAAAAGGAATTGAAATTTACAGATAATCAGTTCATAACAGTCACTGTTAAGAGTTGAGTAATAGAATCTGAAGTTTGTTGTGGAGATTGGTCAAATTGATTGGCCGTGCCCTCTTTGAATGCCAATGTTATACATGTTCATGTATTTCTGATGTACATTGATTGTATTTTTGATGAACATTATATGCCAGGAAAGCGATGCAGGCCCATCGGGCCTCTTGTTACTTTTTTGTATTGTTACTCCTCCTTTCCATGTGTAGAATTTAGCATGTTCTACTGATCTCTCTGAACTGTTGCAAGTAGTTGTTTTAAATTTGCATGAAAAGGTTATGCTTTCACAAGGTGCATATAATTGTATAGAGTATACAAGTAAATTCCTAAAAAATGCTATATGAAGACACAATAATGATGAATAATATATGTTACATACCTGTAAATATGAAATATGTTAAAAAGAATCATTTTTACCACTGTATATACCTGTGCACAGACTTTATATGAAAATGTTAGATCTATTTCTGAATTTTCATCATATTGTGATGATTTTTAAGCTTGCATTTTAGATTTAAAAACAATGTTTTCTTTTTACTGAAATATTTGGAGATTTACGTAGTTTATAACTTTTATATTTTTATACAAAATACTATTATTGGGTTTCCAATAGAGAACAGAATTTAGTGACCAGAATGACATTGCAACCCAATCACAAGCAGTACTTCATTGGTACAACAAATAATTTATTGTAAAATTGGTCAGTTTTATGTTGAATTTGTTTTCCTTTATTCTGCTAATTGATGAATTCACATTTCAACGAACTGTTGAAATTAGTATATGTAGACTTATTGAGCTATATTTATTCCCAAAATCAAATGTCCATGAAAAAAAAACAAAATAAAATAAAAAAACCATGAAAATATATGATTTTACATTAAATGGTGCCAACATCTGCTTCAGATTAATTGTTTCAGTAGATTGTTCTGAAATATATAGCATTTTACAAAATGTTTTCCTTGACAATATTATATTTGGAAAATATTGAAAGAAATGAGATTGTGTATGATCTACCAAATACGTGCATTTAATTAGATAAGATTGTGGTAGACAATTAAATGAGGAATGGTAATATATCTGCTCGTTGCATGAATCCATATCACTTCAATAGTTTTGTGATATTTTCAGATATGTCGAAAAAAAATTGATGAAGAGATTTCTCTAAATTCAGTCATAGCAAGTAATATATCATTTTAATAAGTTTGATTCTAAAATTTAATTCAGAGTGAAAATGTTTGTCCAATGGATATTTCTTTTATGCATATGAAATATTAACCTACATTAATAGACACCAAAATGTAATGCAAACAAATTTTCTGACAGTAAATGGATATTGTTTACTAGTATAATTTTGGAATGTATTTCAAAAAATGAACTGTGTTAACAAAAATTGTCCATTCATTCCTATACAGTAAAAACATAAGGTCAGTTTTTTCTTGATACATGAAATTCTGGTCCTTTCTATAGATTGTTGTATTGCTGTCTGACGTTATTGTATTGTCAGTGCTGTACCGATGTTATGTTTTATCATTATAATGTTGTCGATTAATAGTATATGGGCTTGAACAGGAAAACAACGAACCCAGTGGATTTAAGAATACCAAGTAATTATCTATGTATTATAAGTTATATAAAGTTATGTTTGACACTTGTTTTGATTTCCTGACAATATGCTTCCACCATACGTGTGTTTTCGTCAGTTTAGAATAGATGATCACTTATTTCAAAGTTTCCTCTCAAAGGGAGATGAAGTTTGATTGATACTATGCTGAAAAAATGCTACATTCTGGCCTAGCAATGATGTTCCAGTCAAATTAAAAAAAAATGGATTTTGTATTCATCGACTAAAAGACGTTTTTTTATCCTGAAAACATGAATTTATTTACAACGTACTCAAATTGTAAAATGATGACATAATATATTATTCATGTGACTAAGTTTTCTTTTGTTTCAGTTATTTCTTATTTTTTGTTTTGTTATGTATATGTTCGAGGCCGCAGTAAATCTGTCGATTAGACTTGACCTCAGGTGGAGGTCAGATGGTGTGGCTCGACGCTCCCTACAAAAGGTGGTTTGTGTTGTTTAGGAAGCTGATTAACAAACCGATCATGATCTGTGCTAGCTATTAATATTTGATTCCATTTTCTGTTTTAAGAGGGTCTAACATTACTTGACGAGACATAATAAAGATTGATTTTATTGAAATGTAAAAGCAAAAAGATGAATAAAACTATGATTAAACATATTTTATATTTTGTTTCTACTATATACATGTATGATATCATTGTGAGAAGACACTGTGATCATGGTCAAGTTATTTATATGGATAAATAGAAAAATATCAATTTCATTAAAGAGGCTCGATCCTTTCATTTTCAACCGCTAGATTTCCTTGAATATTTAATATATTGATTATACTACCATGTGAATATGGTTTACTTTTTATTCTCTTTTTACAGAAGATATCTCGATTGCACAACCTGTCTTTTACACCCCATTGCAAAATGCCCGGTAAACAAATAGGAAAGTACATCATCACATGTGTGGAAGCTTCACTTGTGTATTACATAGGAATCGAGCCTTCTTAATAACGATACAACCATGACAACGTCAGTAAAACTGGTGATTGTCATTTCCTCAACACAGGTTTTCAACAATACGAGAAATTTTACATTGGTAACCAACAGAAAAAGTCATCGGTTCATTGTAATTATAAACAATCAGTAATATTCTATTTCTTTGTGTGATGTGAAGCTGGACATGTTTGATGCAAGTTAGTTTCACTGTAAGGTCTGTTGTTATACACCATGTTCTCGTTCGAGAATGTCACATTTCTTTCTTGGATTGACAAGGTTTAACATGGTGGGTGTTGTCGAATAAGCAGAAGACGCTTACTCTTCTGGAACTTATGGCCTCTTTCAGGAGTCTCCATTTAAACCATTCTTTTGTACATATTTCACCCGAGTTTGATTGGATTTGAGATTGGATTATGATTGTGTTGACATGGTTGTATTTTCACTTTTTATTTTGCTTCCCATTAAATCCATTATCAGGATATATTCACAGGAGTAGAAATACAGTCTGGACCACAGGACAATAACATGACATCATTTTGGCGCCATATTGACTGACTGATGTTATGCCAACGCATTGCACATTGCCTCAGATAACACGCATTATAGCCTTATATCATTTAGCTGATCTTCAGACAATGCTTTTCCAAATCAAAACACTGATAATAAGATCATATCCGAAGTGTAAATTTAACTAATGAATGTCGGTCAGATTGTATTCATTGTCAATATGAATGCAATGCGAGTGAGAGTTAGATAGAATGGCATCCATAGGGACGTCATGATTATTTATCTGGCATTCAGATTTCATTAATATTGAAAATAAATATAATCTGAACGATGTTCAATGGTAAATAATAACTGTATGATATGCATGTCTTGTCCTGCGTTTATTTTGTTACACATCTCTATGATTTTACCTCAATACTGAAAATAACGAATGATAAAAACAAATTAATTAACATTATTGTATTGGAAAATTAAATTAAATATCAGTTTCATTACTGAGATATGTATGCATGTAATGTATGATGATAAATAATGAAATGCCGAATGAACACTACAAATTCTTTTTTTTTTTTCAATTTGAAATGTTCATCAGAAATTGGTATTTTCATTATTCACTAGCAGCAGTTTGATATACAAGAGGTAGACTGCCCCTAAATCATTCATCTGGTATTTCACAGGTAAAAGTTTCCCTTCAGCGTATACACCCGAAGTGGTCTTAATCCAATATGACTAAAACAATTTCAAACACCGGTAAGTTTATAAGACTTAAAACTATATAACCGTCTGGTTAAATATAAGATGTTTGCGTGTTGGTCTTTGAGATAAAGTCGTTGGGAGGAACGACTGACACCGGACATAATATGGACTTTGCACCAAGGCAAATACTGGGCACTTTTAGCTCCCAAAAGAAGACAAATGAAAACCAGTATCTGATGTGTGCTCTTACAATATAACTTCTATAATGGCTTATTGATTGGCTTTAATGATACAAGGAAGAATTTCATGGTTATTTTAAATTACAATTGTAATATGAAAGAATTGTAGTGCGGTTAGTCTCCTCTCAAAGTAAGTTATAAGATGCGTTTAGTGAATGACATGATTAATCAATATTAAAGTTTATTTACTAGTCCATTTAAACCAAACCCGTCACATAAAATATTCTGCTATCAGGTACTTCTTAAAACACATGAAAACAATAGCTAGACCGATCTGTAAACCTACTGGTATTTAAACACTTTCTGCTTTAAAGGTGAGCGTCAAAATCAAGATTTTGTGTTAGCTTAACACATTAAAGAAATAAGTTGAAAATGACGTCATTATTAAATATCCCCTGGTAACATCTTCCATATCATGGAATCATTATGTCCATAATAAGTTATACATATCAAAGATATAGACAGAAGACATGAACATGTAAATGACTTGAACAAATAACAATGGATATGTACACATTTTATAACATTTAAATAGTTTTATCTCATTCATGCATGAGGAAACTTCAGCAGATGTTACTTTTGCTTCAATGCAGGAACTTTTGATACCACAATATTATGACCGTAGAGAAATAAATAACGGATTTACTATGATATAAACACATTGGCTAAAACACTAGCATTTCGCAATGTTGTAAAAATGAAACGTCATATTAAGACAGTAACGATCAAACAAATTAGAATAAATGCTGGTCTGTTCATACTTTTCTCTTATTCACCGGAACACCTTTCGTTTATGTGTTGGCGTCGTAATAACGCTGATAATCTGTGGTGCTCTGGAAACAAAAACACAAATCTGAAAGTCTAGAAATAATTGAAATTATCTTTAGCGATTCTTCAACGAAAAACAACAGGGAAATACCAACAAGCTATGGTAAGATTTACACGTAGACTCATGAACAAGTACAAGAAGAATAAGACCAGACTCTTGTCAATCCAAATAATATAGCAAAACATAAATGTTAAGACATAATCAGCACAAGCTTTAGAATTGTATTGCATTAGCGCGTTGTCGATTGAATAAGGGACACATACAAGTGAAGAAAAAATAGAATCAGCACACGCTTAATGGGAAAGATATCTACTCTATTAAAATTAAAAACAGTGGTAATTATCAGCAATGTATTAAGTTATTATAAGAAATTTCACCTCGATAAAAGTTGGCGCACCGTATAAACGAGCATCTAGATGTCTCGGTCCTTGATCCATGAGAAAAGCAGCTAAAATTTGAAAGTGAAAAATATGTACTTAATGGAAAAAATATCAAAAGCTTTCTTTTGATATCTCCTTAATATTCGGTTATTGGAGTAACAACATTTTGATCACGTACCATGAAAAAGACATGATATGCATTTCAATCTTTGTTTACAATAAGATACTGACATTGTGTCTGATTGTCCATGCTATAGTGCGCTGACAGTATACACTTCTTGTACGCTCTGGTCATGTCAAACATCTTCCAGTAAGTGTTTACATCAGTGTCAGCTATAGCTGTATTGTAAATTTTAACCTGTTGATAAAAAACATTTGTGATCATAATGCCACCTTATTCAAGGAACGAAACAATATCTTTTGCATGAAATAAAATGACATTAGGTACACATAAGAGATTGTTGATGAAAACAACATTGGAATCTAGTCTCTGGTGTTCATACTCCGAGGTGAATAACGTCTTTTGATAGAAAAAATTAAAGTTAGATGTACCAAACAAGTGAATAAAAAGGGAACTGTGGGTATTTACTTTCAAACACGAGTTTAAAGCTTGAACTCAACATAAGCGTAATTGCAATAAAACATCAAATAAAATGTCATGTTATTGGTTGTTGTTGGCAGGTAAGTGGTCATAACATTACCTCGTCCATTAAGCCATTGAAGAAGCTTTCTCCGTCTTTTCCTAGATACAGGATGTCACTCGTGTTCTAAAATGATAAAGTCTCAATTCAGTGACTGCAGGAAAAAATCATGAGCATTTTCTATCGTTTAATTGTTCCATCTTACAATAATCATTTCTACTAGACTTATGAATAACACAACGCACGTGTTGGTGACAAAGCAAATAAATATATATCCACTTCACTCTAAAATGTTTTATTTATCAGTAGGTACATTGAGATTTGTTACAGATTTGTGGTGCGTTCTCCACATATATTCGTGCTATTGATATGCTACATAGAACGATTTATCGGGAAACTCTGAACACGCACCAAAATAACAAAATAAAAAAAAAAACTTACTGTATGTCGGTACCTATCTGGTCAAATCCAGGAAAAACTGTTTTTATCAACGACCCAGAATACAATTACAAATAAATGGATTACGGATTACGATAAGAAGAGTTTAATATCTTAGTCCTTCCTTATCTGGTGTTGATTGTGATTCAATTAAGTTGGGCAACCGTACATTAATTTAACAAACCCATGTAAGCGTCAGTATCCCATTTAATCTTCTATCTTGTGTGGATAAGCTGTTTGTGCCGTCCACATACAGCGTCACCTGGTTATCTAAAAAGCAAAAAGGCATTACCAATGTGCAGAAAGACTGCATAGAGTGATTAAAGAAATCAGGTCACAGAAGCCTTATCAGCAAGGGATTAAGGTAATTAGTGTACCAACCAAGTTTTATCATAATCCTACCAGTTTTTCAAAAAAAATCATGCGGAAAGCAGCATGCGAGAGTAATTAAAGAAATCAGATATTCAGGTCTCAGCCTCATTAAACATGTGCAGAATTGGACGTTAAAGGAATTTGAGTTAAGAAAAGGAAGGTGTTAATCCAGTTTAGAATGAGGTATGGTGGAGTGAAAAATTAAATGTTGAAGTTTTATCAAGAGTTCTTTGGAGTTCTTTAAAATCCACATACTATTAATTTCACCTATGGAGTAAACAGTATCACAATAGGACTAAGGTTTGTTTAAACAGCTAGACGAGCCAACAATAAAACGTTGTTCACATGGATTCTTGTGAAGGTAAGAGATCAAACATAAACAGGGGAGGTCCGTAACATTACAGATAATATGCAATCTAAATGATTGTAATTCCAAAGCATTGTCAGCCACTATTTCTTCTTCGGAAAGATTTATAAAGTACAGTTGAGGTTCCTTCATTATCAAACAGCTCTGAGTTTTCTTTCTTCTTTTATACAGAAAATATAATAATGTTTGTAGACAAAGATAAAGTGACTGGACGCCTTATCTGCAAGAAACATAACACACCTGTCATGTAAATCTAGAAGTGTTGATTTAACATATGTACCGAGGAAAGATGACCTGTGTTTTGTTTTCATTTTAGATTTCAATCTGCAAAATTCTTTTAAGAATGATGGACCAAATGAAATTAATACAATCAGAACGAGAACATGGTGACTTCACTCTGCAATGTGTATCACAATCATGATATTAAGAAAATCGTTTCATATGCATATATTTATATATAGAATGTAGATTTATGATAAAAACATAGCTACGTACATTGAGCGTTATAAACTGTCATTAAATGTGTCCACGTGTCTGCCATAATTACTCTTATACCGTCGATGATGCTAGCTCCAATTTTTACATGAAATGTACTGCTGTCAACATATAGGCACATGTCAGAAGAGGAAGAGCATATGATTGGTTGTTTGGTGTTGAGAGCAGTCGCTGACAAGTAGACCCATGCCTCAAGTGTGAAACTAGAAAAGATCCATTACATGTTTATTTTAACATTTTTATAAAGTATTTTGTTAATAAGTATATCTTATCGATATAATAGTTATAGTCTATTAGCTAACGATATTTGCAGACAAATAGCTATCTTAGGGATTAGAAAACAAGCTTGGCATTCATGTTGATTCTTCTCCCAAGAGCTATGGCGAAAGTGCAATGTACCATTGTCTTGTAAAGCATATCGAGGCAACGTGTTATCACAAGAATGTGAGAATGAAATGGGCCGTTTTGTACATCACAATCTAAGGAATGGACTTAACGGATTCTGTAGTGATAGCCATGTACCATGGCGAATTATATAGGGATGAATTCTGACTACCGACCTCGATATTCAGATCCCTCGAGGAAGCAAATTTACAAATATTTTGTCCAAAAATACATTGGGCATTGTAGGTTACTGCGACCATTTATATCAAGGCTATATTCAGTAAAATGTTTCCGAAATTTAAAATATACCAACAATAGCAATACTTACCTGCTGTCAATGGATAATACCGAAAGAGTCCCTATTTCACCATATGTACTTCCGTTAAACTGCAGAGCTGTATTCAGTCTGAAAAAATCAGATGAAATTCAGACTGAATACTGCCTCATCGAGATGGGAAAGGTATGAATCATCAAATCTTGTATCCTTATCAACCATACCAAGATTGATTCAGAAAAATAATAAACGAGAAAACATTCATATTAATTGCGTTGGTCACCGTATGTAGAATGCGTTCATATAATGTTAATATATGTACCTTTTAGTACAGCGATACTGGAGGTTGAGCCAGTGTGACCCCGTCTGGTTATAGGAAAACACACCAAGTCGGCCGCCTTGTATCGATGTGTCAAAGACATGGCCGGAGTCCACTATGTTCTTGTCTCCTTGGTCAACTCGTACTCTAGATAAGCAATATTTTACAGGGAAGATGTGAAAACACCAACGAGATGACTTAGTTTTTAAATAACTGTAAGTATATATGTCGAAGTGGAACCTCGTGGTTTCTATTACAAACTACAAATAAGTTAAAATTTTGACCGATGCTGTTATCAAACAATATATTTGTAAAGTGATTTTCAGTTTTACTTGGAATTAAAGGCACTGTAGGAAGCTAGTTAAGAAGTACCTCTTGTCTGTTAGATGGCACAACATAATAGCGATTTTTTTTTTCAATTCTCTTCAGATATTTTGCTTACTTAAAAGTTCAGGAATGCTTGGAGAGATATTTTCAAGTAGGGTACTATTTAAGCAAATGTGTGCAAATCAGTGAGAGTAAATCAACAGAGAATGTTTGAAGCAGAAGACGCTTACTCTTCCAGAACACCTGTTCTTATACTATTTGTACTTTTTCAGACGTGTAATTTTTTCTTTTGTTTATATTTTGCCATAGTTTCATTTGAATATGAGTTTGTATTATGATTATGTTGATATGTTTGTCTTTTCCTGAAGTTTTCTGTATATAAAGTGTGCTTGTAGGCGTGTAGTGTCGGGCTCTTGTGTTGAGTCATGATGTTTCAGTGCGAAAGCACAACATAAATTCGTATGACAGTGTACCAGAAGACGTCTACATAAGACTGAAGATGAGTCCATCAGAAAAAAGGATTGTTTAACATTACCTAAGAAGTCCAACCGATGGACTATGCTCCATTGTCCATTTGTAACTCTGATACAGTTCCCAGCCAGTCAAGTTTGGATCTTGCCAAAGCAGCGTTTTAATCGAGGAAGTATCACAGCCATGATATAAAGCAAATGCGTACGATATTCCAGGAGCAGTTCCTGAGTCTACTAACTGAAAATGAACGATTTAACAATGATAGAAGTATATCAAATTAATCCTTCTAGCTTTTTGGAATATATTACGGAAATATCAAGAAGACAATACCGACATGTCACCAGAATCTTGGTTCAAACTCAACAATGATGAAAATAAAACGGATGATCCTAAAAAGTACAAGTAGGAGGATACCATATGTTCCGGAAGAGTAAGCGGCTTTAACTTTATCGAACAACACTCACCTTGTAAATTAGTAAGTGAAATCGACAAGTACAATGCTAGTATTTAATGAAATCGCAATATATATACAAATTTCAACCTTATTTAACTTCAGTCAAATAGTGTTAACAGTTAAGCATAGTACATGTGTGTAAAGCAGGTTTAATTAAAACTTTGAAAATGAATTGAGAATTAACAACAATAGATGATTTTAGCAACACAATAGGAACATAACGTGATCATGCAATAATCCATGATTTCATGAAATAGTATTTATATATATGCCGAGAAGTTACCCATATTTGGACGCCTTTAACATCTCCACGGTCCTGAAGGTTAAAGTACTTATGTCTCCAGGTGAAAAGATAATACTTCCGGTTACTTTGATAACCCAATATAAACCCGATAACACCGTAGCCTTCGTTATTATCGACAAATGTAGTTCCCGTGAGAATTACATGGCCAAATATCTGCTCCCCTGTAAAACACAAAAACGAAAACGGAAATAAGTTACAAACAAGGTCTTTATAACAAATGGTTTTATATTATATCATATCATTACAGCAAAGGAATTTCATTACGATACTGGATATATTAAATCAAGGAATAATAAACATAGGAAACAAGTTCTTATATCACAACCAGTAGAAGATTTCAATGTTACGTTTCGATGACTACACGGTCACCTTCATCAGACAAATGCTAATTGTGTACTATAACTGACGTTATGTACGAGATGGTAAGGCATCGATCATTTTTTTCAGCTGTTTTAGTGATATAACACTAGAAATTCATTGTAAGTGCTTTAGTTTCGACAGATCTTGTTTGATCTGACAGGATGTCGGTAAAGTCTGTGGTCCACAGAGTCAGGTTTCACTGTATATTTATAAGTATGATAGAATACAGATATTTTTTTCAAAAGGGAAAATATCGATTTAGTCTGTCAAAATATAAAATTATAAATCATATTTAATAAACGGGAAATTCTGTTTTTCTTTTTAATACATAGTAATGGGAAAGTAGTAAAATGTCGATCTAATCAAATGTCTCCGAAAAGAAGGAAACATCACATGTATCATTGTACTAACTGCTCAAAAACTTAGTGGGGAAAAAAAGACCGTAAGTCTTTATAAAATTGATATTTTTTGATATATTACAGACCAAAGTTTTAAAATGTAATCATACTTTCTTGATAACGTTTCGAATAAAATGTTTGTGTAAGCAAGAATTGATATCTTGGAGAAATGTCTAATGAAAGGAACTTTCTCATAAACAAAAAGTATTTTTGCCATCATAACTGATGAACACTTTATGATCATTGTATCGAAAAACAAAAGCTTTCATCCTACTCAGTAGCTAAATTTTCTTTATATATAATTCATAACAAATCCAGACATCTACTTTCAAAATGAATGTGAATAGATACTTGATACAAGGCATTTAGATAGAAAAAATATAATTTGGAGACTAACTATGGAAAGGAAGGAGAAAGGAAGAATATGTTTGCTGTGGCTTTATATATCACTTGCCATTTTAGATCAATATGTTCATGTAATAGACGTAGATCACTTACTGATTCACTTATTGAAAAAAAGTTTTTCAAAAATCCAAAACCTTCGCTCACATCCATAAAACAAAATCGATTATCTACGTACCAATCAACGCCACTGGTTTCATAGTTGACTTTAACTGAAGAATGTGCCTGCCATTACCCAAAACCATCCAATCAGGAGACTGTTCTGTGGTCCATGCGGGATTGAGGTCCAATGAGAAATAGCGCGAGAATGTCGAATTTGCAATGTTTCCATTCAAAGGACAAACATCCTCGATGTCTGGTGTTCCATCAGAGTCCATATCTTGTCCACAGGCATCACCCCTGCTCTTGAAGCCTATGACAACAGTAATTAAAAGCCCTTATTTTATTTTTTCCTGACGTTGAATGAAGTCTGCATACGGTATTTTTTATGCCACCTTTGCTCAGTTGACACAAAAAGAAATATAGTTTATATGCATATAAATCATAAAAGTAGCTACTAGTCAACATAGCTTAAGATGATATTAAAAAAAAGCAATATCCTTATGATAAAACACTAACATCTATCAACACTATTTATACTAAATTTAATATTTTTTGATGTGGTATTATAATTGTTACTTAGATATTCTGAATCAAGGCTATTAGAATTATCATCAACATATTCTCAATTGTGCTTGACCAGTTCTTACCATGCAGCCTTTCCTGTGCTGGGTTAACAACATAAACACAGTTGTCAGCGTCGTTAAGAACACCATCGCCATCGATGTCGTCATCACAGCTATCCCCTTATAATATTAATTATGATGCAAGTGATGTTAATGTTAATGGCATTTGCAATGTAGAAATACATTTAAGTTCTGCGAACAGGTATACGTACATGCTAATTGCACTGCATTCATTTTAGCTTATAGTTCGGTTGTATTTACATGTAAAATACCATGAAAAAGTATTTAACAGAAAAAGGCAAATGTTTAGCGATAAAATAAGTCACAAAACGTAGCCATTAAGACATCTACAAATGAGAGCAATTTCTAAATCATAGTTTTAGACTATGACGGTAAAATACCTACCGATTCCGTCGCTATCAGTATCGGTTTGTACAGAGTTGGGAAAATTTACACAGTTGTCAAGATTGTCCATTACACCATCGCCATCACTGTCAGACAAGTGCAGTTAGTAAACATTTGTTTTTGTTTTTCTAATACATAAAATTCTTTTGACGAAAATTAATCGATCAGTCAAAACTTACAGACTAGGTTTGATATTTCCTTCTTTATTTCAACTGCATACAACTTAAGTATTGTGTTGTAACTGTAGATGCTTAGTACCGCAGTGTCACTCATGCAATCATTATTTTTATGATACAAAATTTAATGCAAGTCATACGGACCATTTCAGCCTCCTCTTTAAGTTTTGTAAAGATTTCAAATCTCATGATTTTGTTACGTGTCAGAATAAGCGATAATTCTTCAATCACCTGTCCTGTCCATCACAGTCATCACCAACGCCATTCTGATTTGTGTCTGTCTGTGCAACGTTTGGTATGTCCCTGCAGTTATCACATTTGTCTCCCATAGTGTCACCGTCCATGTCCATTTGATCTGTAATTGTATCAGTATGGCTTTAATTACTCCGGAGAAATTCTTGTTATCATCTTACATTTTTTTATACATTTATATACCTAGAACGCTGATACAGACACAAACCTAAAATTGGTAATTAAATGAACGCTATATATGTCAATCTTTATTAGTAAGCAAAGACGACAATAAAATGAAATAGATGTGAATATGGAATTGAATATTTATATGAAATATTTTCGCATTTAACATACATGTTTGCGTCATTTAAAACACCAGACAGGGAACTATATAATCATCTATCTGTATGAATATAATATCATGTTTTCTTAAAGGGATATTTTCATCGTTCCCTCTTTCATTTTATCACAGGCAAAGATTTGCTAACAACTTTTATGATAGCAAATACCATTCATCATCGAGACTTACCGACATTAGCCTTATATGGGCAGTTATCAAATCCGTTCAGGATGCCATCGCCGTCTATATCGTCATCGCAAACGTCTCCTAACCCGTCACCGTCGACGTCAGACTGGTCATAGTTGACGTCATCCATACAATTGTCACACTGGTCACCGCTACCGTCTCCATCTGTATCTTCTTGTCCTCTATTGGCTACATATCGACAGTTGTCCTGTAATTACCGAAATATTTCAATGATAGATAACAATGTCGACACTTCCATTAGTTTAGACATAATTTCGAGCCTTTTAGTATTAAACAGCTTTGATTATTGTAAAGCAATATATTGTTTCCGGCTGTGTAATGAGAGGTAGTAGAACTCTAATGGCTTACATAAACATCGTCGAGATATTGAGATTTAAACTAAGGTTTTTTCTGAGTGTTTCAAATGCAGATGATGAAATGCGTTTATTTGCGTTTACACAACGTGATACAAAAACCTTATGTTAAACCTTTATCCTGCTAAAATATCATATTATGATAATAGAATTTTAAAATGTCAGAATATCTTCCCGAACAAAATCATCATGAATATCATTAAATTTTTCATTTTGTTTGTTTTTTGTTCTTGTTTTTCAAATGAAGATTTTAAAAAATTCCTTATTAGTAAAAGTATTGAATTCGTTTTCGTAATTGTTTTGGTATGATAATCAAATGTTATAGCTGTGTTACTTCTTCATCGACGATGTAATCATTGTCATCATCATCGTCACACACATCGCCAACACCGTCGCCGTCGTTGTCCTCCTGACCTACATTTGCCAAAAATCGACAATTGTCCTGTAAATTAATGGATGACAATTAGAAAAAAATACAACGTTAACGTAATTAAAATGTGAATTATGCTTGACGTCTAATAGTAAAGTTCAGCCCACTCATTGTGCTATTTTGAAACCGTTATGTTTCTTCTCTGTCTTACAAGTGTCCTTTAGAAAGACAATATCCTAAGACGTTGTTTAACCTGCTTTTTCTTGACATTTACGATTTCTTGTATTATTAAAATATTTCTATGCTATAAGTGATACAATCATACACATGATTTTGTTGCACTGACGCACTGTCAGTTCAACATGAATATCAACTTTCGGTTCATTTATCTCGAAAACACCGAGATTCATTTTTTCCTACTAAAAGCAAAATGGCCTTCATTTGGCAGTCTTCTGCATATACCACATTGACAATGATTGCCTTTTTGTGGTTTTCAAGTGTATTCATGTAACCCTGGTGAGTACTAGCCGATATATCCGGCTTGTCTATAGAGAACTTATACTCCAAATAATCCAGGGGTTCCGGGTTCGAATAAAGCTAGTGGACGTATTATAATAACTAATGACCTCTGTTATATTCATAAAGATAAACAATGATAGTGTTATGTTTGGATTGATACGATAAAGAAAAGAAATATTCTGAACCAGTCAGCATCAATGTTGCTTAGAAAATTATATATATATATGCAGTGATCTGGTAATGTATTATTTCACCTGAACAAACACACAAAAAGCTAAAATGCTTTCTGTATTTAACTATAGAAGGAACAATATTTTAAGTGTACTTACTGCCAAACAGCTGTCAGAACTGCATGGAATTGTGTCATCTGATATTCCGTCTCGATCAGAGTCTATTCCACACTGAACTCCATCACCTGCCCATCCGTCCCTACACTTTTATCATGCAAAGAATATTGTCTTTATGCATTTCGGTCAGTAATTGCATAATCACGTATTTACATATAACGGTACAGCAATTAAACAACACAAACAATCTTGTTCTAGTTGACATGAAGGTCGATAAAACATTCATTTCAATAAAAGAATAAAAATCGCAGATACTGTGATACAATTATTATTTTCAAGAGCAAAATATCAGCACCTATACTTACGTTACAGCGGTACATCCCCAAACCAAGGTAATAACACTCAGCGTTTTGGTGACAGTTATTATTTCCAAACTGACAGAAGTCACCAATTTTACAGCCTACGACTGGGTTTCCAATATAACCCTCAATGCATTCGCCACAATAGAAACTTCCCTTTAAGGTAAAACAATGTTTGAATTGAACAGTGTTTGTTCACTATATAAAAGCTTCATAATTGCAACATACAAACTTCTCTTGATCACATTGATTTTATGTTATCATACAACATAGAAGATGTAATAACATATCTTATGTCATTTTTATTGAATGCAGTTGTAACGTGCAATACTTATTAATTTCATGTGGAAGAGTACAAATATTAGATCTCGTGTTGTCTGATTTGCAAATGATAAACATAATTTCCTTTTTAAAAGCGGTTTTATGTCCAACGAGAATACGAAAACATTTATCAAATTTCTAGATATAAAGGTGTGATAAATTTCTCGGTTTAACTCGAGACAATCAGAATGCTTTCACTGCATTATTGAAGGGATTGGGGTATTGTCATTTTATTCTGGTGTCACCTTGACTTAAATTGTTGTCATTCCACATTCTTCTACTTTTTCAATGTTATGCATGTAAATCTGGCATCTGCTTTCACTTTACCTCGATTAAAACAATTAGACATTGTAATTTGACTTTGTTAACTATCGATTTTTGTTGGTTTGTTTTGTTTTTATCAATCATCCTCGAAAATATCTCTTTCTATTAACCAATATTACTGAACCCGTCAAAAAATACCGCATGTAAGTAGTTTTAAATATTATTCAAAGGGTCAACCACATCGTTGTGTGAAGCTACTTGTAGCATTACTATTCACTTTGTGTCAAGACTAAAGAGACGAATATAGTTGCAATGTTTCAAAGCTATTACTGCATTGTATGTAACAAATAGTTTGTCATTTTGGTAACGTGCAATTTATCTAACAACAAAACTTACGATTGTGTTGTGACAGTAAGCATTGACGTCACATCCGCCGTTGTTGATCAAACATTCATTGATATCAGTACAGGTTTGGTTTTCGGATGACAATACCAGATTCTGTCTATAGAATGTCCGCCTATGTATGTGTATGGAGAGGGCATCCTCGTAAGTACCCGTGTAACCAAGGGGACACGCCTTACACTGGTAACCAGGTGACGTGTTGATGCACATGCTCTTATCCCAGCAAGGCTCGTAAACTGCACACTAAATTAATTTAAAGACAATCTTGACCAAAAGTGGCAAAGTACAAAGGAAATATATTTCAAAGAACCATTGTATCCAAAGACTGATGGCAACTTAAATGTACAAAAAGTGGCAATCACTTTATAGCACATATGATTGCACAAAAGACATGCAAGTGAAAACATCTTTTAATACAAATCTAGTGAAGTTAACTACATTATACAGATAATTCTTCCCTTTAGAACTTATCCCTGGTGCTTCGGAGAGCCTAAATGTTGAATTAAGCGACCTAGAAAAATCCAAACAGATCAAAAGAAAAACAGTTAAATAGGTAGGTGCAATGACCCCTTAATTTAATCAATTTGATAATTTTCTTATATCTGACCATTTTATAGGAACTTCAAGAACATGTAAAGAATGATGACTAATGATGATAACATGTCGCCCGCGTCAATATGATTATTTCTGTGATAAATGAAGAGAAAAAAATACATAGTATCCTTGTTAATGAAAATTATGTGAAAACGTGTGGTCATCATTAGGATGTAGAGGAGGACTATTCCATTTTTACGTGCTATATAATGTTAATTTGTTGTTGACCAAATGGTTCTTATTTGGAAACATGATGTCAATTTGGGTATTGAGATATTACATGGTAGATGCCATAGATAACCCATAGGATTTTATTCTCCTTAATTCTCATATCTTGCAATGGTCGCCAGGAAAAAAGCTGATAAAAGAATAGGATGTGCTTTACCTCGTCGATGTCATAGCAGTTGGTACCATCACCTGTAAACCCATCTGGGCAAGGAAGACAACTGTGGTTGTATGTATTCGGTCCCGTCTGGTAGTTGTAACATTGTAAAGCTGTGTGACAGGCAGACATACTGGCTAGGCAAGGACAATGCGTGTGCGAGTCACATGCCACGCACGTGCCGATGTCACGATCCAAGTATGCCCTCATTGGACACACGTCACAGCGATCCCGGAAACTGGAAGATGCGTAGCCTGTCGGACAGGGCTTACATGATGACTGACCCTTTTCATCCTGGTAGGTTCCTAATTCACATACCTGGCAACGCTCTGTAAAATACGGATCGTATTTGTTGTCATCAAGTTCATTGATACCCTAGTGATTGTTTGAAATTGGAGTTGTTTTAAAAGTTTTGATCAACCAACCACGAATAAATCTATGATTGGCTAATCAAAGACTTAAGTTTATGAATTCTTGATAATCCCAGGACATGAATGTTACTGATGATGTGGTTAAGCTTTCAATAATATACTTTATTTTACACTCATACCATTATGACAAATTAAGTACAACACATTGGTGTGCTTGATTTTGTATTTTCTGTTGCTGGTGAGATATTGTTTGAAACATTATATTATGAACACAGAAATATTACAATTATTGTTTAGAACTTATATATCATCTTACAAAATACTTTTCAAATATGAAAAAATAGATATCTTTACATGCCTTTCAAAAACATGCATATCTTCTTATGTAATATATACCTCAACCTATCCATTTTTATTGCCATAACTACAACATACACTTTCAATTGTAACAAAACTCCTGAAAAATCAACAGTTTACAAAATTACATACATTTAACAATATTTATGGCATACATGTCATTTGCTGTTATTCATTTTTCCTTCGCGAACATCTACATACGATAAATATAAATAAAAATTACATAAATTGTGTGTAGCTTATACATAAAGCATAAATAATACAAGATTAGTCATATTACATACCAAATGTTCCATCAGAGTATGTTCCTTCCCTACACTGAAATCTCTCGCCTTTACGACATGCATAGCCTGCCTCACAGGGGTAACACTGGTCCGGGCAGTCATCATCAGTACAGTTCACATAGTGGAGTTCTGGGCAGGGAGTTGCATACCCGTTCTTACACAACTATGATATAAGTTAGAAAAATATCACAGCATCTTTATACAGTAGTAAGATCTTGAAATAAGTAACAAATCCACTAAAAGATTTCTAGTGACGAATCAAGATAAGAACTATAAACAAACATACGACATGTTCCCAATTTGACGTTTAGAGAAGTGACACACAGATTAATCCGATTATTGCGAGAACAGCATCGTTTACATCAGCATCGGTGGCAGATATATTACAACAAATAACAATTCAGCTCCATCAAAGTGACCACTTCATATATACTGTTGGAAGAGAACTAAAAAAGTATATTTAAAACCTCCAAACAAATACATCATAAAATAACGACAACAGAGACATAAAAACAGACGAAAAAAAAACTAGAATAAATAACAACGAAAAACAAATAAATAAATGAAAAAGCAAAAAATGCCTACCCAGCCAAGTGGACAGGTGGTACATTCTGAAGCTAGACCAAATGAGTGTTCTGTAGGTGAGCGTCCACATGTGGAGTTAGCTTGCACTGGATCACATCGTCCACATGGTAAAGAGGTACCATCTCCTACACAGTAGTTGGTGGCGGGGCATCGCTCACATGTCGTCCGGTCTGTGGTAAATGAGATGTATTTGAAACAAGGAAAAATATTGACGTGTTTACAGAATTATAATTGAAATACAAATATATGAAACTAGGACTAAATATGTACATAAGAAAGATTAACACGGAGAAAGGGTACAAGAACAATAAGATCATTTGTTCTGGCAGAGTATTCTCTTCTACTTCATCGATGACACCTGCTGTGCAAGTAAGTAATGTGACATTCCCAAATGAGACCAAGGTAAACAACAGTACGATCAAATATATCTAACGAACATCCAACACGTCCAGCTTCCTTTCTCACAAAGAAGAGCAAATTAGCTAAAATCTAACATTCACTTACAGTATTTGAACTGGAATTCAGAACAACCAACGAGTTCTAGACGAAGTCCGACATGATTGTTCCAGGTGAGCGGATGAATCCGGATGAAGTGAGTGACAATTTCTGGATCCAAATTTATGGTAACTATCGTATTTTTATCTGTGTTCCCTTCGAATATCTGTATATATCAATATGTTTAACTACAGTGTATGTCGTTACTAGACAAATTCAATGAACACTTTATTATCAATCCTGCTAATCAAGTGAAATACAATATCCATATTTGCATTATGAAAGTGATATCATCATAATTTGTTTAAGGAAATCAAAATACTTGTAAAAAGACGTAGTTAAATAATATCAATAACCTTAAAAGGTCATAGTCTTATTTTAATGAAAAAATTTTAAAACAGTTTAATAATAATAAAAAATGAAATGAAATAGTTAAATCTAGTGACCCGATCCCTTTTAAAATCTAAAATTTGTTCAGTCATGGATATATAAACTTACCGTGTTACCTGCCTCATTTGTATAATTCACCCACGTGATTCCATCAGTACTGTATGTGATAGCAAAGCTAGTAACCCAGTGATCCTCATCCGCCTGTCCCTGCACCATCAGTTGATTTATTTTATAGGAGGTGTTCAGTGACACTTGTATCCACTGATCTGAGTCCTGTATAGGAGTCCATCCTCCATGAATGCTTCCTAAAGGATCTATAAATGTAGGTTTTAAATTCAAAACTAATTTTATAAAGAGATCTAGTAAGATTGATAAGATTTTTGAAGATAAGATAGCGTATAGCTTAAACGCAAAATCAAAAAAGAAATTAACACAAACTTAATTGCGACGGAATTACGATCACACTTACATGGAATACCAGAAAAATTAAGCCGTGCCCGACAGGGATTGCCCTCATAGGTAAAGGAAGATGCAGTAATGTCTTTCTCTGCGATATGTCCAGATTCCATCCCCAAGAGTTTGTCACATGCTATAAGTAAATCCACAATACCAATTATTATTTTAGTGCTTGCTTGTGCAATATGTAAGTAAATGTAACTTATGAAGTGTCATCTATATATTATTTAATTATAAGTTACGTATTAATTAATTCTGGAAATATTCAGTATTGTACGTTTATCGAAAATACATCGGTTTTTCGTTACGATATATCTAAATGTTGTAGTTGAAGTGATGTGTCACGGACATGTGATAGGTAACACAATTTCTAATTCCCCTTATCCCCTTGATGCCTATAAGTTATATTACATTCTTCGGAGTCTGTACTTTACGAAAGGTTTATGTATTTTATTGCTATCCTCAAAACTTACACTTACACTTGAATTATATCAATACTTATTCATATATATTTATAAACTTAGTGAACATATTCACGGAAACTGCAAAAACAGTTAAATGTTCGCCCGAACAGTTAAAAAAGATCTAGTTTTGTCTGCTAAACTGAAGTCATTTGTGAAGTCCACAACGAATAACGATAGGTATATGATTACTAAATAGGAGTGAAAGTTTTCACGAGTTCATGAATGATTAACGTCTACTGGAACGACAGCATTTCTCTGAATATATACCATATGTTTTATCAACTTGTCTATTAAACTCTTTTTATTTTAAATACGGCATTGTCTATGAAATGTAGCTTGTATTCTTTTAAAGGCACAATAGCGAGGGCTTGTCATGCAAAATGCCTGGTAATTTTTTATTTGGAAAATAAATTTGTGTGAAAGGAAATGATTTGTGATACATTATTTATGTATTTCCCAATTTCATATTAAAAAAAAATGAAAAATATGAAAGAGCCCCAGCTAGGCTTAGAACCCAGTAGTTGTAACAGCACTCACTCGACAGCAGGCGTCACTTCTAGATAAATTATTTGCCTTCATTAAGCGATTACCTAACATTGTCATTCATACAAAACCTATCACGTGGATGTAACACATATATAAGTTCTTCGAGCTGAAAATATCTTTGATCAACAGCCATCAGTTGACGACTAAATATTTCAAATGGGCGCCATCATCTTGTTACACTATAAATGCGCATGACCGTGACCGCAATAGAGGAAGCAGACAACGTTTTAACAGAATAGTTGAAGTATAACGTCATTTTACCCAATTCATGTATTCGTTCTAAAAAGAAATTTGTTTGAAGTTGAGAGACTCAATTAAATTGATAGAAAGAAAAGAGAGTAGTAAGCAATTGATATGAAATTATGCTCGAATTGTTTATCTTTTAAACCTGATCATTTAGAAGCTTTGCAATACTGACTCTTTCAAACGCAAAGGTAATCAATTTTGCGATGGCAGATTGCAAACGACTTGAATTGAAATTTTTAAATGACGAATATTTCGACAAGTAAACCTTGTACATGTATCATGACCTTGTGTGTTTTGATCGTCTAATTAAGCCATGTTGTACTTTGGTAAGATGCGTTATAGTCGCAACGGTCAACAACATAAAATGTCGAATCAAGTGTATAAATATTTAATTTATTATGTTATTCCTTTTCGTTTTATGATAACATGAATGACCATTATTAACCATTATGTTATTACCTAGATGGTATATATAATACCCCGGAACTCTGAACACGAGCTGGCCTGTACTGTTATCCAGTGAGAGCGAGTAATTTGAAGGGCCGAACGTGGCGTCAATCAGACAAGAATTGTCTACCTCAAACGTCATTGTAGCTTTGGACCCCCGAGGTGGAGACCCGCCGTCAATGGCAATGATTGAAAAGCTGAGTAGAGTGGTTTGCGTAAACACTTCATTGAACAGGTCCATGGTTGGGTTGAAATCTAATGAAGGACTGATTAGATATATGAAATTATTAAAAGAAATAGGTCAACAATTAATATATACATATGTTTCGTATCAATTACAAATAATTTTGAAATAAAACATTGAAGCAGAAATAATTGTGCCATATCAATCAAGAGCAGATTTCAGCATAAATGTGAAATATTTGTAATTGTCACAAACACATTCGGAAACCATCCTCGATAGTTCAGGGGTTGCGATCACTTCCGTACTCTTTGCACCCTTTGGAACATGTCATTAAAAAAATTGAAGGCACAAGCGAAGTTATTTGATAGGTGCCAGGACAAAAAAAAAACCCTGTCTAATTACAGGCTAATAAACTCCTTTTAAATTTTGCAAAGGAGTGACCCCCAACTTCAAAGCCATTAAAATATTCCGTTACGTGACCTCGAGATTCTTTTGATGTACATCAAAGAATCAAACTAGTCTGTTTGTCTCGTTCACAAGGTGTCGCACATGGATCTTCAAATTTGTCATGACATATTCCAGGGATGCAGAGAACGATAACGATCGTAGTCCCTGGATGAGGATGAGACAGAAACCATGGCCCGTATTCATGAAACCGTTCTCATGCTCAAGCATGAATTTTGTGCTCAAGCCTTATTTCTTTTTTAAGTTAAAAAATAATAAATAAGGCTGATTTTGCCAAAGATTAAAAACAGTTTGAAAAAGTTTGAAAGGACTTGAAGTCAAAGTCATATTCAATATTTATATTTGACATTTGTGTCATTTTATATGATTTAGGTGAATAATAATAAAAAAAAGTTTCCTTCAGCACAAAATCTATGCTTGAGCATGAGATTGGTTTCGTGAGTACGGGCCCTGATCAATTTAACTAAACGTTCACAGTTGACTTGCGAGTCATGCGACATTCATGAACAATTTGAATGTTGTATTTGAAATGCTTGCACCTTCACATAGATGTTCGACTTACTTTTCAACAATTGAAGAGATGAGGTACATGACGTCACTATTGATACTACTGTCTGCATCGGTTGCTGTAACTTTACCAAAGGGAAGGATTTGCAAGGCGGGATCCCCTTTTAGGTTGAAATTGGTACCATTTACAATGGGGCAGTTGTCATTGATGTCTTGCACGTTTACCTGATAGAGAAAAGTTACATCCTATGATAAAGGCCTCAAACTATTGCAAACAATTATATAGGCCGTCCATTTGTTTTGTTTAAGTCGAAAGTTGACAAAGCTACTAACATGAGAGGTACCACACAATAAAATCGAACATTATATAAAAGAAGATATATATTGATCATCGACGTTAACTTTGGTGCTATTCTTGTATACATATTCATCAACAGGCATTACTCTCATTGGATGATGTTTTGATGTACCTGTTCTATATGTAGCCATAAAGTAATTCTGAAACGATTCATATCTACACATTTATTGACTTATGTATCAAGACGTGTACCCACACAGAACACCACTTGGACCACAATTAAACCTCTTAACAATTTGATAAGCGTTTTAAATTGCATAAAGATTGTTACACGGATGAAAGTATCTGGTATCAGCATTATAAACCATGTATTATTGTGCAAGTTTACATATGTAATAGTTTCGGTACTCATTATTATTGTCAGAAGACAGTAAATGTTATTATATTTTGGTGCCACGGTGGTTGAGTTGTTCAGACGTCTGACTGTTTTTATCACTCGCCCTCCACCTCTAGGTCGAGGCCTAAGTGGGCAGTCGACAGTCTGGGAACTCCGGCTTTCCTCTACCATCCAAACCTGGCACATACTTAAATGATCCCGGCTGTTAATCGGCCGTAATTCAGCAATGAAATAAACCGAACCAAAGTTATAACATTTCTATTATGTTTGTTTTACAGTCTGTTGTCCAATATTTGTATACCTTGACTGTGATTGTCCCGGTAGATGGCGGGGTTTTACCAGTGTCGATGATTTCCATGACTACAGTGTACGAGCTACAAGTCTCATAATCGAGTGACGAGGCAAGAGTGAACAGAGCCACGTCAGTATTGATGATAAATGTCTCTGTAGTGGTATCATTTTCTTCAGGGGTCACCAGGGAGGAGTTCAAGCACTCTGAATATAGAAACTCCAATCTAGACAATCGTAACTTTTGAAATCTAACAGTTTCATCCATTGATGTTCATATCGGCAATATGTCTTATATTTGTGTTATAGCTATCATTTCTGCATCCTTTATTTTAAAAAAATGAATTACACATTATCCTATCAATTAAACACCAACAAGTCCTTAAAATCATAACCAAAACGCAAATTCAATAAAACCTAGGCAAGATATAAATAAAAAGAATATTTACAAATGAAAGTTCCTGAAGAAATACAACTAGTTTTTACAAGGAATCTTACCAACATATGATATGCCATCTACAATGGTGTAGTTTAGAGATGATACATTTGGAGGAATAGCTGCTAGAGAATTTGCTACAGTGTTGTCCAGGATTGTAAAATGTCTTGCTTCATTCCCTGGAAAAATATGATAAGAATAAGTCCTGAGGTTGCGGGATGAATTTTAATTGCATGGAAAAATATACTTATCCATCGATTTCATTAGTGGTAGTTTGGGGGTAAACGTATACTTCAGAAACAAATACGCTTCGTTTCCCCAACATGGAAATAAAAGAATAAGACCATCTTGTTATATACATTCAGTGCACGTCCCAATCATTGCTCCTTTTTGCGTTGATGTTACAGGCTATTTAATGGCTATGCCGTTGGCATTAGTGTTGAAAATGAACTGCATGAGTGTCATTCCGAGATATGATACTTTTACTTGGTGTCTGTCTGCGTTACTGTTCCAGGAATCTACCAATTGTCTCCTTAATTTTATATTTTTTTGCCTTTTAATAATTATCAATTATCATTGGGATCTCATGTGTTTTGGAATATCAAAGCAATTCACATTCGATACTGTAGAGAAAACTCTCTTCGAAACTGATATGGAATAAAAAAGAAAAAAAAGACTGGTGCTTTATAAATTAGCCAAAGCAGGAATACCTTTAATAATGGTGACATTGAAAGAAGGTCCAACGGAGAAAATGTCGGTAAAGTACAGCCGCTGGAGCGTGCCATTGACGTGGAAACCTTCTGTTGGGTTGATGACGTAATCAGCAGGTCGTTCCTCTTGTAGGTCGGTAATGAAATGAATGTTTTCTGTTTGAATGTATAGGCTTGACGAACACGTGAGACGCTCGGCGTGAAATATAGACATACGGTATCGTTCACCCACCTTAGAAATAAAAAGATGTTATTTTGAAGAAGAAGAAGAAGAAGAAGAAGTAGATTTTATTTATATACACATAAATAATTGCATGATTTCTATTCCTTTCGACTTCTGGATAAAATTTTGAGGACATTTAAAAAATGTCATCAACATTTCCAAGTAAAAGACGAAATTGTGAACGTTTTTCTTTTTTTTCTTTCCATACAATGCATGTTTTATCACATTCTAAGACAGATGAAAAAATTATTCATGGTCATTATAATAGGAACTTATTGGAACTTATACCATAAATTGAAATGTAAGATCCGTCAATTGTATATGGCTACTTACTGTCATTTCAAGAAATACACTCTCTGTCGGTATTTGTTGTGTTATGACACATTGTCCACTGACAATGATACCTGTCTGGGGTGTGATTGTGGCGCCACCTTTAGCAAAATATTACATGGTACATTGATATATAACATTTTTAGAATGTACAGTGTCATAGTTGTAAGGTATGTTCTTTATTGAAGAGAGGAAATATATTGTCGTTTATGAGTTACAACACACTAACTTTATGTTCTGATATATATCATGCATTTATTGAATCTGCATCAATGTTTCTGGTAAACCCATAGAAACGCTCATCTGTAAACTAACAAGACATAGATATTCTTTAGCCACCAGATATTAAAGTAAGTGATCAATTTTAACTTTACCTGCAGCTGATGCTGGATAAATATCAATCATATTGCATAGAATGTCACTTTTTCTAGAAATAACCTCTAACACTAAAACGTCATTGATAAAGACCCAAAGGTCATCTCCTCCTCCGACAGCAATAGTCTCGTTCTGAATTCCTTGGTAAACAAATCCCGCTCGGATGGCAGATGTGAATCTAAACAAATGTACCAAACTCATATGTATGGTAATTTCTTTATATCTTATTTTAGTCGCTGAATTCAAAAAGTGAATAATGGAGTTTCAACTATACGGATTATGAATTTCTAACGCTTTCAAATTGTATCATGATGACAGGTGAACTTTTTTAATTCATTTTGATATTTTTCTGGTTGTGATCAATAAACAAAATTCTCAAATTTATCGATGTCGATCGTTAAGTGAGTTCACTGCTTCCGGAGGCGTGCTTTAAATTCCTGTATACGTCTTGTGATAAAACTAGATTTTAGTTTCTTCAAGTCGCATATCCATCAAAACGAAAACCGCCATATTTGTAGTAATGCAGATAACGTTATATCGTTGTGCCCATCGTACACATACATTATTGTACCAAATTAAGTGGGGAATGATCTAAAAGAAAATTGCAATCGGCAGAGCTGATGTTATGGAAGGCATTCTAGTATATCATTTTGTTCGCTAAATGAAATAAAGTACAAGTATATCATTCTAGGAACATTTCAAAATCAAAGTAAATTCTACTTCTCACCCAAAATTATGATATTCGCCAAAGCAGTCCTTCTGGTTGTCTCCTAAACCAGCGCCATCCACAGGGAAAAATGCGTACGTTTCATACCTACCAGAATTGAAAATCGCAATAATTTAAAAAAGAGAAATGTGACAAAAATCATAATTTTCACTTTTGATGAGGTAGATTGATAAACAGCAGTGGTAGTACATTAACCCACGAAATAGTACTTTTTCGTAAATGTATTTGAATTTTTCAATAATAATAGGCTTAACGAATTAAGTAGGTTCTTTTCAAATAATATCATAATTTCTAGAATGTGAATGGATTTTTATTTATTTATTTCGTTCTTTTTATTTTACCTGTGTGTTGGTGGAACGGTTCCAATCATCGTCAGAGTAATGAAATCCTCTACCGCCAAATTAGTGGGTGGATTATCAACAAACCAGGATGAAAATGTGTCCGTGCTTGGGTTGTTAGATTTTAACAACCAAGAACCAAATGGACTGGGAACGTAAGTTGGTTTGGTGGTAATGGCAGTCTCATACCCCACGAAGTCCGGATGCGTTTGACTGAAATCATAATACTTCTCTCCGTAACAAACAAAATTCAAAAGTGTGTGTAAGTAACACATTAGTGAAATTAGAAATGAATTGGTATTGAGTTTATGCTATATAGCAATAAATTAAATATTGTCATCGTTAAAGAAAATCATTATCTAAATTATGAAAGTGATATGAATTTTTTTTAATAATATTGTTTTTGCAACAATTTGATAAAGAAAGTAAAAGGGAATTGGTACGAAGACAACAGTTGCTTTGTTAAGGATAGAAAAACCGCACTACTTACCTAAAATCATAATATATAATAGGAAGTATCCAATCATAAATGTCTTCTGGTGTGAAAGCATTGGTTGAATTCGTCGAGTTAGTTGAATTGTCATAGCTTAAGAGAGTTGGCAGTACAGCTGTAAAATATTTGAATAACAAAGAAAATAAATCATAATAGATAATGCTCTAGGATAAATATTTAGTTAAGATCATATAAGGAATAGGTTATATCACCTATCCAATCGTAATTAAAAAGCATAGAAAAAATCAACATGTCAAAATAATCATGATTCAAACTGAAATTCAATAAAGCTATGGCAAAACAACTATAAAAGGAAAATTTACATGGAAACTTCTGAAAAAGTGCAAGGATAATATCTACATTGTCCATGAAAGTTACAGACATGTCCGTGAGGTCAATGGCTTTTCCATGTAAATTGTCAATGGAATTTATTTTGTCCATGTATTTTCCCTATTTTCCGTAGAAAAATATGGTTTTCCATGAAATTTTTTCCCCCTGGAAAATGTACAGCCGGGTTAAGATAAGCTATTATTAACTCGTGTAATGAGATAACCGTATAAGTGTTCTGTCAGTAGATATATGTATTTGTTAATTTGTAAGTATATAGTTAAATGTTACTCACTTTTCTTCCTCTGTGTCCTAACTACTCCTGGTTGACTTGGAGGACTAGATGTATAGTTGGAATTTCCGTCAAGGACAGCTACAACACATACATATTCCGTGTCTGCAGTGATTCCATCATCTACCGTGAATGTGTAGGAGAACGAATCCGTTGTATTCAATCCAGTTGAATTAATGGCGTCGGATGTATTCAATCCAGTACTGTTGAATGCATTGGTTTCATTCAATCCAGTATTGTTGAAAATATCAGTTGTATTCAATCCAGAGCTGTTGAATGCATTGGTTTCATTCAATCCAGTATTGTTGAAAATATCAGTTGTATTCAATCCAGTACTGTTGAATGCATCACTTGTATTCAATCCAGTGTTGGAATTGTTGAGCGAATTCATATCCCGAATACTTGCAACTGTAGTTGTTATCACATTGCCATCTGAACTAGTGCATGTGAGTCGATATCTCCTGAAACGTATTCCAGAAAGCTTGGTTATATTACAGTTAATAAAGTCTTCTGTAGTTATATGTGGTCAGCTAAAGTTAAATCTTACTGTCCACTTTGTCAGAATTTAAAATAAAACAATAACCCTGAAGTCGTGAAGCCAAATTTGATGTCATTGTCTTCACGACAGTCGAACGTATCCCAGACAGCTTGGTTATATTATAGTAAATAAAGTCTTCTAAATGTTATTTGTGGTTAGATAATCGCAAGCTAAAGTTACATCTTACTGCCCAATTTGTCAGACTCTAAAAAAACAAAACAAAAACACTGCAGTCGTGAAGCCAAATTTGGTCTCAGTGTCTTCACGACAAACTCACTTCAACATTGTCTTTTGAAATAAATCAACAGCGAGAAAACGATCGCTTTTGACAATTTAATTTGAGGTATTTCATCCAGTGCCTTAGCAATGCTGACTTAAACAGGTTTTGTCCTACTTACTGCTTGTTTCATATAAATGGAAAATATTTCATTTAAGTGTTCCATGTTGGAAATAAGATATACTACCATGACTCAGAGTCTGTATAAGAATCTGTTGTTATATTGTCGGGTCTCCTCCAGGTCACCGTGACGTCATTGGAAGTGATTGTCGATGAAATAACGTTCACAGGAGCTGTAAAATAGAGAGAAAATCTCATGTGACAAGAGACAGTAATTTTCGTGTGCTAGTTTCATGAAAGAATTACAGTTATATGATGTTTGATGAAAAAGGAATCATATATGTCTTATATGGTCTTAATGCAAGTACCTTTATTTTTTGCGCAAAAACTCTAAAGAGTACAGCTGTCACGTATATGTTCCGAAAATCATGTCAGATTCTAATTTTGAAGAAAACTTTAAACGACATTTTATGATATATCTTACAACAAATAAAAAGTGTGGGGTCAACATTAACAAAGTACGTCGATCTTGCTGGTGTGTTGTTCGCTAGGTAGTCCAATGTAACTCCTTCAGGTGACCCACATTCTCCACCGGAAATGGCTTTATGTATCTTTTTCAGAGCTTCAATCATGTAACAATCGCAACCGATATCTTGGTTTCCTGTTAAATCACTTAAAAAAGGATAAGAAAAGAAAAATGTCAAATGTATAACGTATAAGATTATTCAGATTTGAAGATGATTTACATGTTGAATGATAAATGGTGTGGAAAAGAAAAACACATTTTAATTACTTTAATATATGTATACATGTATTCAGTTCAAGGATAAGCGTTACTAGAGGTACTTAATAATGTTTTGAAAGATATTCCGGTTTTAGCACAGGTATGTCTATTTATTCCGTCTATAACATAGGTGTGTTTATTTATTCCCGCTATGACATAAGTGTATCCATTTATTCCGGCAATAAATTATTACAGCAGTTGCTTTTAAAAAATCGACCATACTGTTTTGTTTGTAGATAATCAATGATAATATCCAATTCTAAAATCTAAAGATGCATTTGTAAGTTTTTTTCAGTGATATTCAATATCCAAATACATTCTGTATCTATATCATTTTCTATGGAGCTGTCTTTCATTATTTTAACAATTACAAAATCATCTTTCCAAGCGAGCATTTTCCTAGGTATGCTAATTCTAAATTCTGGCGAAAAACCTTAATGTACTCTATTGCACTCACAGTTTCAAGAAAGCCTTATTATCAGCTATCTGATCAAAAGTTGCTCTTTCAAATGTTTGTAGCTGATTGTCTCTTAAATCAATGGTGGAGAGTTCCGTCAAATTTTGTATCGCAGGAAAGAAGAAAATCTTATTATCAGCAAGGTCAAGTGTCTTCAGAGACCAAAGATCAGAGAACGAACCTGGTTCGATGTAACTGATGAGATTATCACTCAACAATCTGAAAGGTAAACGAAAATAGACGTTAAAACAATGTTATGATAGTCAGTACAGTGCTTTTGTTGAATGAATAAAGGATATTTAATAGTATTAATTTTGGAATCTTATATATATTTCACGAGTGTGGCTAGTATTTCGGATTTCGGTATCCTCAATTAGTTCTGAGCACTCGTGAGGATACCACATTGACAGAATCATAAGCAAAACAAAATTGGTATTTATTTATTTATTTTTTTTTTTTACAAAAGAGATGCGTTCTCTGACTTAATTCTTGATTTCAAAATTATCAATTTCCACTAGTGAATTAATTAAAAAATTCTTTTTGTGTCTATTTAATTAAAGTCAAACACTTTTATTAAGAACAAAAGTTCCTTACAAAATATATCATATATTGGTCGAAGCTTCAAACAAGCCCCCAAAAAAAAGGAATTTTATTAGGGAAGTATGCAGTTTTTGTTTGAATCGAATCTGCAATATCAGTTTAACTAAATGTAATAAAAGCATCACAATATTATTACAAATTGACAAACGGAGATTTGTTTGAATAATTGTAATTCACACTAATATTTCCGTACAGAGTTTGCATGTTGACCAGATTCCCCAAAGTTCCTTGACGAATCGTTGTGATGTTATTTCCAATTAGGTTAACGGTGATCAGATCACTCTGGTTCCGGAATGCAACCAAGGACAACTCTTTTATGTTGTTGTTCGAAATGTTGCTGAAAAATGAGAAACTTTCCTTGTGGAAAAGTGAACATCGGTCATTCTATAAACATTAAGTGCATAAATTGTGTCCAGGCCACCATTATTACATTTGATTTCAAAATTCTAATTAATAACAGGGTACATCGCTATGTTGCTGACAGGAAAATACCAACAGTTAATTCATATAGTCATTGTCTTACAGAACGCTATATCAGAGTAAATAAATAGTATATGCTGTTTAAATGTGCACTTAAATCAATTGACTAAAAACTAAAAAATGTACAGGATGGCGACTTCGATGAATATAAAGGTACATTATTTTATTTCAGTATTATTTTATTTTACAAGTTTTGATTACTTACAGATGTACAATTCCTAAATTAGCAAGGGCAGCTGTTGGATATTCTTCAATCTGATTGTCGTTTAAAAAGCTGAAAAGGAAATCAAAACCTACCAAATCTTTTTATTTTAATTTTTATGCATTCAAGTTTTTTGCATTGTTTTCTTCGTTCTGACGAGGAAAGAACAACAGCGTCTGTTTCATAAATATATAAATTTACAATTCAGAAGGTGTTCAATTCCTGATCAATCTGCTGAGAACGCATTTGTTATGGTTCGAAGTTTAACAGGATATAATATATCTAATTAATTTTGCAATAATAAAATAGGTAAATCGCATCGCAGCTAACGTTAAAAATATATATCGTTTGTGTGTACAAATCAGGTGCTCTTATGTATTACATTTATAATGAAGACCAGACTTACATTCCCGAAAGGGATGTTAGCCCATCGAATGCGTCGCTTTCCACACTTGTTATATCGTTCATACCAAGATACAAAATACCGCCGATACTGGAAGTGTTGGCAAAAACCGAAGTCGTCAAATTTGTGAGCTTGTTATTGTTAAGATATCTGTGACATAAAGGTGCGGATAAAACATTCAACTTTATCACATATTGTATGATATGATATGCACGTAATAATGCATGTCTGGCATTGTTACATAATGGGGAAACCCTACATATCCTTTTGCAACATGCTTACATTACAATCATTCCATCGATGGAATACCTCTTATTCAATTTACAATTCATACATCAGAAAGAAATGTTGTCCATCTATATTTCTGAATCTTAGAGTTTCAATGACTGATCCTAGAAACTATTCCTGTTATGTTTTAGTGATGAGTCAAGTATTACAAATTTAACTACTCCAATTATATTTACCCTTTTTATAACATATATACACTGATAATCTGTCCTACCGTCTCGATAAAAAGCTACATGTCTCTTACGTCAAGAATTGGTGTAAAAAAGTTTCATATTATCTATACAAATATATTATAAAACCCCAAATTTAGAAATGAGGACATGTTCCTTGTATCCGTTACATAATAAATCAGTATAAAACATTTGTAGCTGTTTCCCATTCTTAAGCAGTAATATTTGTCATTAAACTCAAGCATGATATACCTACATGTTACCACTGACATGGACGTCGTCGAATGCAGCTTTTCCTATGTGAGTTATATCATTAGAGTGTAGATATATGTAGCTAGCAGTAATCGATCTGAAGGCTCCAGTGGGTAAATGGGTAATTTGCATGTCATTCATGTACCTTAAAGATATTTTAAAAAGTCTTATCATATAAAGATACATATAATGACAAATTGTGATGATATGTAAATGGTAAAATAGAATGTTTAGTATTTTGACTCATTGTAGTTAACACTATTTAATTGTCTTTTCATTTTTCACGATCATTTATGTATCTACAATTTTATGTACACTGCTAGTATCAGATAATTTTGAAAATTTTGAAATGTATCGAAAATATGTATCTGTCTAGCACATCTCCTAATTTAAATTTTGGCATTGCTTATAATCATTGCTTTTCTCAACAATTTCCTGGATTTCAATATTTAGGTTCACGAACGTACTCTAGCAGGACGAAGAACCTGTACACTTACTTCACTTCAGTTTCTGATTATTCTGTATCTAGTTATAAATTTACATTGAAAATGTGCTTCTTATTTGCGTGCTTTTTTCCCATCTTTTCCATATGTCATTTTTCAGTTTTCATCATTTTGACTCGATACCATATAGTGTATTTGATAACGTGTCTTATAATTGTCTTTTAATGAAACCAAATTAAGCATCAATGCCAAACATTTAGATTATACAAGTAGATTTGTTATGTAATTGTTTAGTGATTACGCCCATTTCGTGTGAAAAAGAAAAACAAAAAATCTTAAGTAGACATAACTAAATAACCAATTTGGAATTCAGGTCAAATATTCATATCAAACCTTTTAAATATTTTAAAACATTTCATTTATTGTTGCATTGTCTATTTTTATAGTGTCATAAAAATACCATTGCTGTGCACGTATCGTATCTGTGTAACGTCCACTTACATGCTGTTAAACGTAGACGAATCGAAAGCACCTGCTTCTATTGTCGTCAATGGGTTACTTCTCAAGTCGAGGTGGCCACTAAATCTAGTATTTTTGAATGCCCCTGATCTTACCACAGTGATGGCAAAATTTCTGAGCGAGCTATGAATGGCATAAACTCAAAATAATTATTGAAGATAAGAATGTATGTTTACATTATTTCTCATTCTATAACAGTTGTGATAATTAAAGAGAGTTTTTAAATATGTCGAGTATTAGGATAACAACATTGTTTATATCCAGGAAACGAAATTTTATGGAATATAATCTGAAATGTAGTCTGTTCTCTTTAAATAGAACGCTCCTTTTGGTGTTAGTTAAAATATCATTACAATATTAGAAAACATACACACATTCTAGAATTCTTTAAAAATTCATAAATTTACAAAATTCTTAAACAAAAACAGTGACGTTTTAATAATTCTGCCTAAAAATGATTTTTTTCATATTTTACTTACAAGTAATCTGACACATACAGGTCTTCGAACGCCCCAGATGGAATTTCTGTAAAGCGATTATTTTGTAACAAAAACCTGTAGATGGTTTTTGACGAGAAATCCCCGCCCGTCGGTATTCTTGTCAGCTTGTTATTATAAAGATACCTGAAGAACATCATTATTATATTACATTAAAGCTTGGCATTGAGCAGGAAGCCTGTCTGTATAGATACATTCTAACAACCAATTCAACTGTATGGATAACTACGAGTAGCTGATCTTACCGTGTTGGTTTACACTAACAAACGGTACTTACAGATATCCGATGCGATTTGTGTGGCTGAACGTGCCATCCTCTATACAAGTGATATCATTGTCATAGGCATAAAAATGGTTGGTGAGTGGACTGTCCTTAAACATGGCTTTGGATAGCCAGCCAATGTTGTTCTGGTGAAGCAATCTGTTGAGTCACAAATTTCACAATTAAACTTAATGTTGTCATATCAACATTTCACTAATAACTACAATCAATACTTTTTAAAATTAATCTTTTAAGGTTCTGTTAGATAAGCTGAATCATGGCTATTGATAAAATGAAAGTTGAATAATCTTAAATTTACGAAATGGCATCACATATAGGTACCAAGCTACCAAGTGATTGTAAAAAGGACAAAGAAGAGAGCATTACCTTTAAATAGAAATTTTGAATTCGTTCGGCCAAAAATAAGTCAAAATGTATCATGTATCTGATAAGTACAAAATCCAAATTTAATAAAATAGATGAAAAAAAAAAAACTAAATGGGGAAATGCGCTAACTGCAACATTCACGATCTTTTTCTACAGCGCCACCAACATAGACAGCCTTCCACCAGGCTTTATGACAAGCGTGATAAGTTCAAATTTTCTATTATCATTATGAGTTTTCAATTCTGGATAGCAACATCGCTGCACCCCCAACCTATGTTTTTTACGAGCAGTTGATTCGATATTCCAGAGCCAGCTAGAGCCATTTTAACTTCTTTTCGCGCATGAAGAGGTCAGCTGAGCTGACGTACAAATTCAAAACACAAATGATTCAGGTTGATGAAAGGTTTACGGTTTTCATAGTGATCTCATTAGAAATATATTCTTTGTGGGATATGAAGTTGGGTGTGTTTGATGTTTGTTAGTTTGCCCGTTGGTTCCGTTGTTGTATATCTTGTTCTCGTTTGAGACCGTGACATTACTTACTTGGCTTGACCAATATTTATATGGTGGGTGTTGTCGATGAGGTAGAAGACGTTTACTCTTCCGAAACACCTGGTCTTATTCTTATCATACTTGTTTTAATAGTCTCCGTGAAATTCTTTCTTTTGTTCATGTTTTATCCTAGCTTTTGTAATTTGAGTTAGGATTATAATTGTGTTGACATAATGGTATTGTTTGTTTTTTGTTGTTTGCTTGTTTGCTGATTTCAAAAGAATGTCAAGTATTTGTGTATATTCTGAACGTCGACGCTATTCGAATAAAGACAAAGACTGGTAATTCCTTGCGGTATAAATGAGTTACCAGCAAATCCACCTTATTTGCACACAACATACATCTGTATTCTTTTGTACGATATGTAAACAAAAACAATAACACACTACAGTTTTATCACGTGTAATATCAGTTGTGAAACAGGCGTAGTTATTGGATAAATGCAGCATCGCCTGAAATTGATGATGCCTTATATATACTTACAGTGTTGTCAGTGAGGTACAGTTGGAAAAAGCTGTTTCTGGTATGTAGTCGATCTTGTTATTTCCAAGGTGGAGATAATAAAGCTTGTTCAAATTAGTGAACGGGTTTTCATGAGTAAATCTAAAACAGTTGTTTGGTAAATGTCTGAAAAGAAACAAAAAAGTCGACAGTTCAATAAACTCCGTAAAAGTAAAAAAAAAAAAGAATAAAGAAAAGAAAAAAACAAATAATTTGTTAAAACAAGGAGTCTGCCGTTGTCATAAAACTATTTTGTACCGCTTCCTGACAAAATTCCACGTTTCGCAAGTTTTATCCAGGAAGAAATCATAGTACATTGTATTTTAACGAATATTGTTTCAATGCAATTGGAAATCAGAAATGCTAGATATCAATTTTAATAACAATTTGCCCTGGCAAAAGCTTTACCAAATATCTATCAGAAAAAGTTAACCCTAACTAACATCTTGCCTGGATTGATCAATATTTATATGACGAATATTGCATGAAGCATAAGACGCTTACCTTTCTGGAGCGTCTTATTGTCCCTATACTTTAAGGGTCTCAGAGTATACCTTTTCTTTGATCAAGTATAGTTCAAGTTTCATACAATTTGTGTTAAGATTATGAGTTTTGTTACTTTTTATCGGAAGTATTTAATTTCAAACGAACACTTTTGATCTGATAAAGATCCTAATGTGTGTCGTATTTAGAATGTTGAATTGAAATTAAGTTGTTTTTGTACTTACAAATAGGTTACAGATCGTGGGAAAACGCCATTTTCAATTGTGATGATCATATTGCCATCCATTCTTCTGTAAATAGATACATTTCTGATTTATTAGTGCCAGATAATAATTTCAGACAAGTTTTTATTTAAAATCTTATTTAGTAGCCTTGATAGTTATGATCCGTAATCCCATTTTGGAACGTGACACAACTTACTCGAATTGACCAAACTTTGCCTGGCGGATGTCATCGATGAAAGAAAAGAAGCTAACCTTCTCGGAAGACTTGATTTTATTTTGCTTGTACTTTTTCATGAGTTACCGTGCGAACTATTTTAACATTTTGAACCAGTTTCCTTACATTTCTGTTTTGATTGTTTCTGAATTATGATTGCGTTAATATATTAGTAAGTTCTTTGCTTCTTTATAAAAGATGAAATGATCTCATATATTTATATATATTATCTGATCTACACAAAATTATATCACGTGTTCATAAACACTACTATTCTTTATACAATTCACTACAGGAAAATGTACAAAAATATCTCCACTGGGACGATCAGCCACCATAACACAAACCCGGTTATTTGTTTATCTTTTTTAGATGTTCAGTGATTTTATCCCATCAAATCCTGTCACAACTATACCAAGACAAATAATATGAGTCTATGATACTTTTAAAACACCTACATGTGTGTCAGTTGAAGATTTCCAAAGATGCCGGCTTCTAGGATGGTGAGGTCACATCGGTGCATCGTCAGTTCTCGAAGGCTTGGCATGTCCGTCATTTTCGGTACCCTCGAGAATGTAGTATAGCTCAGGTCACTGTTTGGATTATAAACAAGTTAGAACAATTTCAACAGTTTCATTATCACTTTAGTCATCAGCAAACTTCTTTACATCACATTTGTTTAATTTTGTGTTTCCAGATATTGCAGTTTATCAAAGTGTCATTACTCTCATTGTTTGTGTTATCAAAATAATAAAAATAATAATCTTCTTTGAATATTTAAAAATAAAACAAGTGATCGATGTCAAACTTACATTCGATACAAACGTTTCAAACAATCTAAGGTTCCATCTACAAAGGTTTCGTCATTTAAAAGAGCATTTCCGGACAATCTTAAATCTCGTAGGTTTTGAAGGTCACACAAATCAAGTCGATTAATACCTTTGATGCCATTGTTAGAAGCGTCTCTGTTAACAGAACAAGTTCTTGTATTGCTTTATGATAAGCAAAAACTTCACGTTTTAATGTAATGGAGTGAAATTTCGAACTATTTTTATTGAATATTTGATTTATAGCATATTTTGTTTTAGGTTATGAAAAAGGCTGCCATGTATTTAAAGTGAATGGAAAGGAGCGATTGAAATTAACAGTAAACAAAATCAGAAAAAGCGGGAAAAACATTTCTTGCAGAAGATATAGACCTCTCAGAAAAATTGCTATTCTATTACTCAAAAAGATACAACAAATGGTGACCTTGGTGACTTATATTTACGAGTAGAATAAAAAAAAAAGCAGAAAAAACATTAATTCGTTGAACATACAGAAATGCTATGTTTGGAGTCGATTTCCAGAGTTTAAAATCTCTTTCCTTTCTGATATGTAACGTTATCGCATTTGGAAAGAAATCCTGGTCACCATAGAGTGTAAGGTTGGTAATCCGGTTGTTGTCAATCTGCCTGTAATTAATCAATTCAAGAATTCACAATTAATTCGTTTGTATTGTTTTTATTCCAGCAAAACATCAAATATGTTTTGTTTCGATGTACTGTGAACTAAGGGTCATTGGTACCTTCAAATGTGTCAATCTAAAGAAGAGGATAGACAAAATATGTATACATATACTTACACAGATTGTAGTTTGTCATATTGTTGTTCTGACAACACGCCATGAGGGAAAGTGGTCAACGCATTATCACTCAGCCACCTTGGCAAAATAGATTAAGCATCCTTGTTATCACTTTGTTGTATAGAGGACATTTTGATAGCATCACAAGGTTACTGTCAACTTAAATTGAAACATAGACCAGACCTTATGAAACCTGTATATACATAAACTAAGTTTGTTCTTTGTACATAATTTCCTTTTATCTAAATGTGTCTTTTTTCAATTGAAAATCTAATATTTTGCTTGAAAATAATGTTTTAAGTAACGCAATCAGCACAAGGAAAATGACTCTTAAAGGGTAAGAACATACAAGTACGAGTCTATTTTTTTCTTAGTTATTACGAAAAACGAGTCATTTCTTAATTAGGGTACATATCGTTTCTGGCAGATCAAATTATTAGATATTTGAAGATATACTTTGATACCTATCTCATCCTTGGCCTGTTATGCAGTAAATTTGTTCATGTAATATTTTCTGTGTATGTCACTAGCACAATTTACCCTGGAGCATTTCTCATTGGCCGAGCCACTTCCACAAAAATGATGTCATATATAATGGGTACAATGATGGTAAGTAATGGCTGCCACTATTGGATTTGTACCTCATCCTTTCTACTTTAAAATCTGTGTGCATGTGATTTCTCACTTTTTTTGGAGGAAGGGGTTGGGTGAGGTGGGGATTGGTGGGGGTGGTGTTGGGGGTTGGGGGTTGGGGGGTTCTTGTTATATCTTAAATTTATTTTCTCTTTTGTTCGGTAAGGTTCACAAAAAAAAACTTAAAAGAAATTTCCCATGCCATGAAAACTCATAACTTCAAATTCAATTATCTATAGTTAGGACGTATATTTATAATCTTTTTTATCTGCGAATTTAATTTTTTTTATTTTTTGGAATGATTGACGAATGGTATCTTTGATCGTGAAAATGTGTTGACCAGTTCAATGTATGAAATGCTCTTGACAATATAGCTGTTTTAAGGTTGTTGTTGTTGTTGATGTGACAGAGAGCGGAACATTCTATGTTTAAAAGACTATTTACTTACAAATTAGTGAGGTTGCCATTAATATCTTTAAACGCTTTGTAGAAAACAGTTGTCAGACCGTTCCCCTGTTGTTGGCTGTGAACACGTAGAGTGTGTAATGCTGGTAAATCTACTAAACTGTTTTCCTCCAGAGCTGTTAAACGGTTTTTCACCAAGTCCCTGGATGTGATGCAAAGGATTTTTTTAATTTGTTTTTTATATGTATATAATTCTGTTTGAAAAACCAAATGCAACATTATTGTAACTCTTCATTTCTCATTTATATTTCGGAAACGGTATATCAAGGTATGATGGTATTTATTCATTATAAATGAATACTTACAAATGTACTAAGTTCTGAATTTTGGCAAAAACGCCGTTATATAGCCGATTCAACAAATTGTTATGCAGCTCTCTGTAACAAAATTAAGAATTGTATGTTAGATATTAGATATTTTAGATTTTCACTCTATGAGATACACACAAAAATTAGATATTCATTGTTGATATTAAATATGCAATTATTTCACAACATTTCAATAGTTGTCTTTTTACCAGATAATTATAATAGGATAAGAATCATTAACTGAAGTGTTGTAATTAACAACGTAGCATATTGTAATCATGTGTTTACAATATTAACAGTTGTCCCAGCTGCGATAACGCGAAAGGCTCTATGTAATCAATGTTATTGTTGCTCAGGTTTCTGAAATGAAAAAAAAAATGTATCAGTTAAGTCCCTTAGACGGGAAAGGAATTTCGTTACAAATACAACTTTCGTCATGCATGTTAGACTTCCCAACAAACTGTCATCGTGAATTATGATTGATAGTTCATTTTGTTAATCTATGTAGAACTTTTCTTCGATTGACAAGTCTACATAAAGTAATCTGCATGAATTATGTTATTATGCATCGATTTTGGGAAGAAGAGACATCATGGAAGATTTATTTGAACTTCTGCTAAATCGTTAAATATTTTAACAGTCTTTTATCATATAATATAATAAAATATTTTGAAATATAATCAATGTAATAAAATGTAATGACTATACATACAGATGTTTTAATTGTGACGTTGCTAAATAAGACAAGTGCCTCTTAGATATCCCTCTAATATTGTTGTCATCCAAACTCCTGTAAATAAGAATTACATATTTTCAGGGTTTTCTTTTTCTAATTTCAATAACCAAGGAAGACGGGGAAAGGTAAATGTTAAATGATTGTTGAAAATTTAGTACTATAGCACTACTAAATTTCTGTTTCGATTTGAGAGAAACGCCTCAAAGTTAAAGACATTTAAATTCAATTTAATAATTTAATTCAATTAACTGAAAACTGAAAAAATGATATTACGGTTCGAACTCTTTATTACTGACATAAATGTTCAATTTGCAATGTTTATCAATGCAGTATATTGTTTTCCTACGAAATCTATTCCGAAAGTATATACTAATTTGCATGATTGACCATGACATAAATGAACTGGGTTTTTTTTAAAAAAACATCGTATCATCAAGACGAAATTACGAAATCTCGCATAAGTATTTAGCTGTCAAATTTTCAGAACATGTTAACAATATTTTACAATCTCTACTTACAGAAACACCAAACTATCAACTCCAGCAAGCGATGTTCCTGGTATATATCTTAACTGGTTCCGGCTTAAGGCACTGTAGATACCATAGTTTAAGCATAACGTATTAGTATAAACGCAAAGAAAGGAATATTCTTCCTGTTATTTCGGAACATTTTCTTCGGGTTGGTAATATGAATACAACAGTAGATCTTATAACACAACCAGTAGAAGATTAAAAAGTGACGATTCGATGCCTAACGAGTATCTAACGCGTCTAACTTTATACCGTACAAAGAAATAGAATATTTCTCATTGAGATCACCCTGGCGACCATAAAACGTTCCCGTTATTTTTATAAACCTGCATCGTTTCAAACCATGTGTTACGAGTTTGTCCGTCAACAGGGATATTGCTATACAGAAATGGAAAATTCAAAATATGGTAATTGAAATCACGCTTATTATACAGCTTGGTTTCGTTCTAGGAAAAGATCTAGATAAAGTGACGATCAACTAAACTTGTCCAATGAAATTTGCATGATGACTTAATCTTCCATCGCGCTTATTTATACAGTGATTCCATTATACAAAAACCACGCTGTTATTGGCCAGTTCCATGGGACGGGATCAATTGTATAATTTATCATCTGACCAAAGACGACGTCAAGAAATATACGACAGGGGAAAATATGAAATCATTATTTAGCATATGTATTCAACTTTTATGCGGATTTGATCAAAGTTTACACAGAAAACAATCAGCAGGAAAGAATTAGATTGCGAGCAATAAGCAGTTGGCTGTGAGCACCAAGTGGATACAGTATAGCGGGCAGTGAGCAGTAGTGAGGTAGTCAGGATGGTCCAATAACTATCCTTATTACAACGTAAGTGTAAATTAACTTGATTTCATATAGAGACAAATCATATGACTTACATATATTCCAACTGGCTTCCATTAAAAAATCCATCTGTTATATAAGCAATTCTATTCTGAATCAAAGACCTGAAATATGATGATTTAATAGAATGGAGACATTACGAAGTACACAGTCTGTTCTCTACAATAATATCTGGAATATACTCGTATAGCAGTATCTAATGTTAGGTATCAATGTAGTTTGGCATTTATAAAAAGCCTTTATCATTTCATTGGAAAAAATAAAGTACTGAAATGAAACATTTCAAATGAGGGATAAATTTCATCAAATTTTATAACCGTCGTTTGTGTGGGTTAAAATGTTATTCTGTCACATTGATTTCACGGGATCATTTTTACTTTAAGTTGCTTCCTTTAAGGGAACGTTATAATTGAAATAAAAGGAACTTCAGCTAAACATGATGTTTTATCACCACTGTTTGTTATGAATCCGTATTGTGTTAATGAAATGTCCACTGACATAGGAATGTGACATTAAATTATTAAATGAAATATAAGCAATGTAGCAAAACACTGTTCATTTGCCACTAAATCCTCTTAATATATCGAAAATGACACGAAGAAACTTAAAAAAAGAGAATATGAGTATCGTATAAACGTTAATTTTTTCTTCTCCTGTGGAATAAAGCAAATAAGACGACAATGTTGACGTGTTTTTGTACTACAGTTGTTTCATAAAAACTGTAATATACTGTATATTTAAAGCAGCTGTAGTATACATACATAATAAGCATAAGTTTATTCGGGTCATATTTCTTGATTGAAAAAAAAAACAATAAAAAATGCCAACATGTCAACAAAATCATAATCAAAACTCATACAAAGTAAAACTAGGGCAAATTATGAACAAAAAGGAGATTTAAAAGGAAACACTTGAAAAAAGTCTATATTCATAATTGTTTCAGGTTAGACGTACCATACATAGTAGCTTTAAAAATGTGTGCATTTGTACACTGTGCACAAATGTTTCAGATAATGCATAATATACTAAACGGATAAAGAAACGCAGGGTGAACTTTAAACCAGAAATTAAGTATGATATCGGGCTTCATTTAAAACGAAATTTTGTATACTTACAGATAGATTAAAGCTTAAAAATTTCCAAAGTCTGTATTTTGCATCTGACAATTGGTTTAGAGGTACTAACGATTAAATTGAATGGACCCATAGGATTTTGAAACTGAAATTTTACTGAGTCATCAATATCTTGTGTGTCCGCCGTTTGCTGTGGTCACGGCCCTTGTTCTTCTGGTCATAGAGTTCATGAGAGCGTTAATCCGTCTTATGGGGATGTTGTCCCACTCTTCAACCAGAGCTCTGGTCAACTGCTCTCGAGTAGCAGGGGATGGCTGGCTCTTTCGAACCTGTCTATCCAACTGTTCCCAAAGATGCTCGATCGGGGACAAATCAGGGTTATATGGCGGCCAATCTAGTGGTTGAATGTTAATGTTGGCCAGAAAGACTTGGCAAATCCTTGCTACGTGGGGCCTAGCATTATCCTGCTGGGGGGGTTAGATTATGCTGCTGTAAGAAAGGGATAACATGGGTCGGAGGATCTCATATCTATACTAAGCTGCTGTTAAATTGCCATCAATAACAACCAATTGTGATTTTAACCAGTGTGAGATTCCTCCCTACACCATTACTGAACCGCCCCCAAACCTATCCTTCTCTACAACGCAAGCGTCCGTAAAACGGACCAGAACAACACGGTGCACGAGATTCTTGTTTTTCCTTCCTCCATTTACCAGAGCTTCGTACTGTACCATGACTAAATTTTCGATACATGACAAGGTGTAATATGACCTAATTACTCAATCCACAAAGTTTCATTTTATTTGGAGAACGCGTTTTCAAAATATCGGAATAAATATTACCCTGCGTGTCTTTATCCTTTCAGTATATATATTAGTTTCATGGAAAATGTATCATACATCTCAGATAAGATAGTTTTTACTCACAGTCGTTTCAGAGATGCTGGCCATTCTATTTTAGGCGTAACACTCGAGAAATATAGCGCATTGTCAGCAAGCATCCTATATAAATTGAAAACAATTGAAAATACATTATAGAATGAAAAATTATCATTTTGGATAACGATAATTGGCTATTTCATGAAGGGGGGGGGGGGGGGGGTTAAAAAGCATAGAGAACAGGTCGATATAGAAATGATTATATATTACCTTAACAAAATGTTTGCACGTTTAAAAAACTATGGTATCATTCATATCAGTTATTTAAAAAAAAAAATTAAATCGTGGGCTTGAACATTTTTCCAAACCACGTTTCCTAGAGTTGAGATATATTGTCAATTCTCTTTCTATTCCATGTATGGTTTTTGAATCAGCCGATTTTATATCACTTACATTTTAGTCATTGCAGTTGCCGAAATGTCAGGGAACATTCTCAAGCCCGTCCTGGTAACGATTCTGGAAAGATAACATATACTTTGGAAAAAGGCATACATGACACAAACAGGAAACGTCGATATATTCGCATTCTGCAACATATTTAATTAGTCACGAGGAATGTATGACTTTCATGGTTACATATAATCTCACGTAATTTTTTAGTGGCAAGTATCTTTTATGATGTTTAATGGTATATGCTAACAGGATTTCTGTAATTTTTGTTTCAAATTATCGGAGTTAGGAAATGATTTATGGTAAAATGGTTCACTCACAGTTCCTCCAATACTGTCAACAAATCTAAGGATCCTTGCCCAAACTCAACAAATTCAGGAACATCAATGATGATTCTGAAACAACAATATTAGGAAGAAGCTGAAAATATTTATATATATTTTTACAACCATTTAGAACATTTGCAAGTATTGCTATACATCATAAGAATACAAAAATAGAAAATAAAGGGTTATAAAACAGGTTGAAATGGAAATATAAGCTTTATTTTCTATTTATGACTGATCAAGATTCGTTAAAACAATATGCCCAGGTTATCACAACGTTTTAGCTGCGAGTTTTCAATACATGTGTACCTTTGTACGTTCGTAATTGGGTGACGAGATGTTTTTCTTATATTCATACTCACATTTTAGTTATGGTAGATGGCGCCTCAAAGGATTCAGGTGTAAGGCGAGTGAACGTTTGAAGCTGTAAGTGACTTTAATACAAAATATTTAATTACCTATTTGTTCTGACAACATTAGACAATCCTGAGATAAGAAAGGCCGCCTTTCATATTTTAAATTAAAAATTGCTACGTTAAATTATCAATAATATCTCAGAAAAATCTTCTTAGCTTTAAGTATTTTATCGAGACACTCTATAATCTAAAGCTAATCTTAATCTATAGAATAACTTACACATTTCCTCTGCACTTGCTGACGGTCTTAAGTCTGGTATCACATGAACATCCGGTACATTGTTTCAGTGACATACTGTAGCTTCCAGTATTTAGGAAGTAGTGGTCATGGATGGATGAGTGCGCACTCCATAACCCCCAGAACCTATCGGACGCTGAGCCACGGATATATAATTTACATTAGAAAGGTAAACAAACATAACTCAAGAAATCATATTAGATAAACGATTCTGAAAAATTAGAAAAAATATGTATATAAACAGGTCTACGTACGGTGTGAACTTTTTAATGGATGGGTATAGCAACTTCACAAACAACACAAGTTAATAGGACCAGAAAAGTTAAATGTATGGTTTGAATGCTTATACTTACATTTGACCTCGGTATATGACCTTGTGGTGATTACCTTTACACTGGCAACGTTTTGCGTTCTGTATTTTATCTTGATATTACTGTATATATATTTAATGTTTGCCATTTGAAATATAATAAATATGATCCTGATCTTTAAAATGACGACCTTGACATTTGTGTCGCAATAAGTTTCAAACATCGATCAAATTTATTTGATCAGTTCATACTATTTCACCAGCATGAAAGTCATCTTAACCCTGGACCTGTGAATTGTGAACTTTCTTTATTTGATTACGATTACCCACACCAGACAGAGATACGGTTATCTTTGTACCATTGATACTATCTTTGAAATTGAGATATTACATCTAGTCGTGAATTTCAAGTTTAGTATATGATAAAATCTATATCACACAGCTTTTTTTTTTTTTTTATTTTGTAATTATTATTTTTCAAAATTGCCATCAATTATACTTGATAGTATATTCATATCCATATATTAGAAATCAAAACTCAATATAGTTATCAATATTGAATAAGTAATACACACGGCAATAGTGTTATACACACAATATTTGCTTACTATCGTAGCTAATCCCGTGAATTGAATGTCTAAGGTTCCAATATTCTGCTCCGTACCAGTATCCAGTTACAAAGTTGTGTGCCACGATACAGAGAATAACGAATACGCCAAGAGTATCCATCCAGACTGAATGTATCTCTGTTCCGTTCACTGCGATGATACGTATATTAATGGATCACATGTAACGGTGCCCCTCTTCCACAATGATCTTCAAACCACATTTGATAAAAGACAAATTTTTACAAATTAATAAAGTTGTTCTTTCTTATGATAAAAATATAATATTTAAATCGATAGTAATTTGATAATCTTAACTGCATTAAAATTTCAGATGTTTCATTCTCTCCTTTTCCTCTTTTTTTGGTTTTTCATGTTTTGTTTTGTTTTTTGTTTTTTTTATTCTTTTTTGTTTTGTTTTTTTTGTTTTGTTTGTTTGTTTGTTTGTTTTTGTTTGTTTGTTTGTTTGTTTGTTTTTTTTTTTTTTTTTTTTTGCTTTTTGGTTTTTTTTGGGTTTGTTAAGAATATATATATTAAAAAGCGAAATATGCATCAAAATTTATAAATTTATGATATGAAATAAGACAAAGGATGAAGAAATGTAAATGATTAAGTACATTGTATCTAAATTTGTATAGAGTAAGTTTTCTAAAGGTCTTTGTGCTAGGCGTACATAATAACACTGATTAAGATGATGTATAACATTATTATGAAACCAACATGAAAAAGCTTTCTCTTTATCTAAAAACTATACTTAATTTCATACAACAAGAATGATATACTTGTACCTATAATAGTTTCTCCTTGATTTAACAACACCTGGCCATGTCGATACGCATCATTGAACATACTTGTGCACTTAATATGATGGTATCATTCGCATTAGTATTTCATATAGTATATGTGATGTGTTATTTCAATTTGTTTAAAGTAAGTTAAATTAAGTGCACATGTATGTTCTATGGTATGTATTAATTAATTTTACCGAAATGATAGAAAAAGTATGTCGCACAATCTTCCGTCATCTGGGTTATACACTGAATACGTTTTAATGAAGGAGATATGGTTGCATGGGCTATATAAATGTCATATTACTCCTAATGTCCTATCAAAAGCATTCAGAATATTGAATGCACAACTGCTATATCTCTCAAGTCATTATAAAGCTTTTATTTTCTGAAGTAAAGGACTTTTTATTATGTGTTTTTACGAGGGTATTGAACTGAACTGAATGTTTCAAGTAAAGTTATGTATATTGAATATATGATAAAACTAATTCTATGGAACTTTTTTTTTCTTATCAAACATCAAATTTCTAAATAAATTCTACTTTTGATTGCATGAAATTATGGCATCTCTTTTTATTTTATTTTTTTATTAACATCATTTTTGTCTCCAAAACAAATAAAGATTTGAACAAACCGTAAGGGCAATAAACACTTCTTAACGATTTCAGTAAATATTTATTCCATAGACATGTCAATAATACCAACATTTAAATTAAACTCCGATTAAACTAAAGCAACTTATTTATAAGATTACAAAAGTGCAAGGGTTGACATCCGATGTACCGGAAAGGTACTTTAGTAGGTGAAAATGGATATTTCTGCAAAACTTGACAAAGTTTACTCCGTGCTTCTTTTTTCGATGTTGTCTTTAGTCATTAATAATGAGGGTCACTACACATAACTAAAAAGGTTTTTTGAAGGTTAATTTCAGACACAACTGCAAATATCACTTCAACTTTTTTTATCTTATTTTTTTATACTGTGATTTTACAACACTTTCCTGTGATATGTTCAAAAGGTTGAACAGGTTATCGTTTAGCAAAAGAGTTTTATATAACCAAGCACTTTTTATGTACAAGATTCTTAATAATTTAGCTCCACAAAATTTGAACGATTTTATGTATACATCTGATGTACTGACCAGGACAACTAGATCCTCATTTACCGATGTGTTTTATTTACCATATCATAAGTCAAACATTATTAGGAGATGTTTTAGATACCGAGGACCCCAGACATGGAATCTTTTACCATGTCATATCAGAAACTGCTCATCACTTTTAGAATTTAAGAGGTCTGCAACGTATTTTTACTTGTGCCGATTTTATCTCTTTTTACCTGTATGTCCTGTTTTTTTTATACATATGTTTCTTAAGGTTGTAAATATTGTACATTTTGATATCTCTTGACCATATGGAAGATGAGCTTTACGCTCAATATGTAATCAATAATAAATAAAGACGATTATTATCATTATTATCATTATAATCAATAACTGACACTGACACAAAAGAGAAAATACCTATCAACATGTCAACTGAATCATATTTCAAAGTTAAATTCGATGAAAACTAGAGCAAAACCTGGAAAAAAATTACATGGAAACTTACTTAATTGTGTACATAATGATTCTAAATACAAAAACATACACATGTCTACATAGTTTTAATGAGATTATTCTAGGGCACAATTTAAACAAAAGAAAGATTAAATGTTACAATATATTCACTATTTATATGAATATTTTATGAGTGAAACAATAAATATTTCCGAAATTGTCCCATAAAAATGCAATGTTGTATCACTTTTATGACCTTTTAAAAGAAAGTGAGAGAGAAAAAAAGATTTTTTTTTACATTACGATATTTTGTTTTACTTACATTAATGATTCCTGATATCCTAACACTTCCAAACACATTCAAGCACGATATACAACGTAGGTTCACTTATTGTGTACTAAGCGAGCCGGCGACCCTATTTAAATATTCTCGTAACTTATTTCAGAATATTTAATGATTCTAGATGTTATCAACACATTTCATTTCTCACTGACAAATAAACCGAAAAAAATCAAAAGAAAATGTGTTTTTAATGTTACAAATTTTATGGTTTTAATAATTTTGGTTTAAATAGATGCTATGCTTTGAAAAAGTAGGTCTGCTAGAACACCTTTCAATTTGTAAGTTATTTGCAATAAAGAGGTCGAATATCATAAAAAAAAATCACTTATAGTGTAGCTGAAGGTCGAATGTTACAAATGAAAAGTTTTTCTTTAATTAATTCGTTAATGATGTTACCAAATGAGTACCTTATTTGATTACTTCAACTACTTGATTAATCATGTCCCTCTGAGTATTTGCTATTAGCGAAAACGCTATCATAACATAATTAATTTCAGAGGTATTTCTTGAAATTATATTCATAGATATGGTTTGAAACTGTTTATGAATACCACTAGACGCAAATCTGAACGGTGTCATAGTACTATGAAACACCATGTACTTCTAACCTACGGCACGAAACATCGCTTAAAACTATGGACACAATTTTTTTCACATTTGTGTTTCTTTCATTAGGTTCTATAAACATCGCATACAAAAATCGTGATATTAAAGGAGAATAGGCCCTTGAATATCGACTCAAGCGCGACGACAAGTACAAAACATTGCTTTGGGATTCAAATATTTTGTTATCAAGAAATTAAAAATTCACAATAGTCTGTCGTGTCCTTGATGTATACGATAGACGAGGTCAATAAAGCTCTGGTATTTTAAGGACACCATCAATATATCTTGAAGTGAAGTTTGAAGTAACAGTCTGTTGGGAACTCTTACTATCAAATTCAAAGAAGATATTGTCAGCCAAAACCTCGATCATTTTCATGATTTCGTCCTCCGTATATTTCTTATTTTTTGTATTATTGGTTACTAACACATCCTCTTTCTATTTGCATCCCTTTAGTTCCAAATTGAGTATTTAGGGACTCCTTTGTATAGTGAGAGAGATGTGATTGTGTGATATACTGATGTTACAGTTTCTTCCCGGAGTCTGAAAGCAGTTGTATTGCTGAATTGGAGAGTTCAAATTTCTGTAGAGAGATTGTGTGGCAGACAGTCAAAGGCCTTTCAGAGATCTATAAATATACAACCAGCATACTCGTTCTGGTCAAGTGCCACTTTCAAGTCCTCAATGTCTCTCAGTCAAGCCGTTTGACATCCCTAGCCAGCTCTTAATGCTGACAAGATGAAAAACACCCTTAAAGAAGTCACTGAGCTGTGTCTGCATGGATCTCTCAAAGACTTTGGAAAGTGCTGGTAGTATGTTTACTGGTCTACAATTTTCTTTATCTGGTGTGCTGTTCTTTTTGTGTAGCGGTCTGAAAGTTTGATGTAGTGAATGATGGGTTTGATAATCATGGATTGTGCTAATATTTGTAGTTTCGGTAGGATCTTGTCATGTCCTGTATCTTTCATATAATTGTTTGTCGATGAAATCTGCTGGTTTAAATGTGAACTGGCTCTCTAGTTTTGTGTGTTCGGTAATATTTTGCAAGCTCGGGTGGTCCTTGTCAGTAGTATACCCGTGTGTCCCAATATTTGAGCAACATTTACAAAAAAAAAAGATGTTAAACATTTCTGCAACATCTGCCTATTTATTTGCTATCTTATCTTGTTCTTCTTAAATGGTATCTACTTGTTTGTGACAGCCTTTGTTGGTAATGAATGGTTTTATAGCAGTCCAAACGTTTTAATTATTTTGTTCCCCTGTACATCTTTCAAAGAAGTATTGTTTTATAGCCTATTTTCTGAACTTTGTGTCTTTGTGCTTTGTAATTTTTGTATAAAGGGTATTGTTCTATTTTGGGTTTCCTTGTTTTCAGTGGAGAATGTTTGTTTATCATGTCTGTTATATGCAGTACTAACATCTGCATGTTGTTCACCTGTTTCTTGCTGTATTGAGTTTTGAAGGTCTGAGTGAAAATTTCAATATTAAAATTCTTGCAACTTCTGTATATCACCCATGGTTGTTTTCCGGTGGTAATTTTAATTTTTGGTTGTACAGCTATAAGGTAACTTCACTATCCAAATAGATAATAAACACACATTGTTAAACAAACAGGTAATAAACACTCACCACAATCAGCTTTCTGTGTGTTAATCCGTGGCACGGCCTATCGAACATGTTATTGTTTCCCCCGTACGGAAGATGTATATGTATGTCTGGTTACCGACGTGTTTCATAATCGTCTCCCCGGAACCACTCCTGACTATTGCCAACTTGCCAATCAAACTAGACTCAGCGTTAAATGAAATATTCCACTGAACAATTACAGTAC